ACAAGGTGGTCAGTCCCTCAGCCTGGAGAAGAGTTCAGCTTCATGGTCTGGAACAAGGTGGTCAGTCCCTCAGCCTGGAGAAGAGTTCAGCTTCATAGTCTGGAACAAGGTGGTCAGTCCCCCAGCCTGGAGAAGAGTTCAGCTTCATGGTCTGGAACAAGGTGGTCAGTCCCTCAGCCTGGAGAAGAGTTCAGCTTCATGGTCTGGGACAAGGTGGTCAGTCCCTCAGCCTGAAGAAGACTTCAGCTTCATGGTCTGGAACAATGTGAAGGTGAAGCTTGAGAAATGAGTCTTATATACTGTGGTGGTGGATAGTGATAGTTGTGGTGGATAGTACTGGTGGAGGATAGCGATAGTGATGGAGGATAGTGATAGTGGAGGATAGTGATGGAGGATGGTGGAGGATAGTGATGGTTGTGGAGGATAGTGATGAAGGATAGTGAATGGTGATGGAGGAAAGTGATGGAGAATAGTGATGGTGGTGGAGGATAGTGATGAAGGATAGTGAATGGTGATGGAAGGAAAGTGATGGAGAATAGTAATGGTGGTGGAGGATAGTGATGGAGGATAATGATGGTGGAGGATAGTGATGGAGGAGGATAGTGGAGTATAGTGATGGTGGAGACTAGTGATGGTGATGGAGGATAGTGATGGAAGATAGTGGTGGAGTATAGTGATGGTGATGGAGGATGGTGGTGGAGGATAGTGATGGTGGTGGAGGATAGTGATGGTGATGGATAGTGATGGAGGATAGTGATGGTGATGGAGGATAGTGATAGTGACGGAGGATAGTGATGGTGATGGAGGATAGTGATGGTGATGGAGTATAGTGATGGTGATGGAGAATAGTGATGGTGATGGAGGATAGTGATGGAGGATAGCGATGGTGATGAAGGATAGTGATGGTGATGGAGGATAGTGATGGTGATGGATAGTGATGGTGATGGAGTATAGTGATGGTGATGGAGTATAGTGATGGTGATGGAGTATAGTGATGGTGATGGAGAATAGTGATGGTGATGGAGGATAGTGATGGAGGATAGTGATGATTTAGTACAGTGATGGTGATGGAGGATAGTGATGGTGATGGAGTATAGTGATGGTGGTGGAGGATAGTGCTGGTGGAGGATAGTGATGGTGATGGAGTATAGTGATGGTGTGGAGTATAGTGATGGTGATGGAGGATAGTGATTGTGATGGAGGATAGCGATGGTATGGTATAGTGATGGGAGGGAAATAGTGAGGGTGATGGAGGATAGTGATGGATGATGGAAGGTATAGTGATGGTGATGGGGGATATTTGATGGTGATAAGTAGGATGGAGATAGATGGTGATGGAGGATGTGTTGGTGAGGATAGTGATGGTGGTGGGGGATAGTGAATGGTGATGGAGATAGGTGATGGTGATGGAGGGATAGTTGATGGGTGAGGAGGATTTAGGGTGGGTATGAGGTTTGGAGAATAGTTAGGAGAAGTGATGGTGGATAGATTTGTTGAGGATGTGATGAAATGGTTGAGTCAGGAATGCGAATAGATTGTGAGGATAGATGAGGGTTTAGGGATAGCATAGTTGTGATGTAGTGTTGGAGAATTATGTTTGGTGATGAGTAGTGATGTTTGATGGAGGATAGTGTAGGTATAGATAGTATTTAAGATTTCTTTCGGATTTTTAACCCAGGCATTTTTTTAGCACACCAGATAACCCAAGAAATTCATTTCAAGTTCTCATCAAAAGGACTTCTTAAACTTTTATTTTCCATTTTGGTCCTATATTCTTTGATTTTCCCACCAAAGGATGCGACCCCCCCACTAGGCCCATAAACCAACAACCGGTACCTATTTGCGCTAGTGAACAGGACAACCCAGGTGTAGAGGAAAGGACACGTGCTGAAAATGTTTTCCACCCGCCGGGAACAAACCCCGGGGGCCCTCCGTGTGTGAAGCGGGAGCTTTAGCCACCAGGCCACCGGGTGATGGAGGATAGTGAGGGTGATGGAGGATAGTAATGGTGATGGAGGATAGTAAAGGGGGTAGGAGGATAGTGATGGTGGTGGAGGAGGATAGCGATAGTGGTGGAGGATAGGGGATGGTGGTAGAGGATAGTGATGGTGTGGAGGAAGTGATGGGGGTGGAGGATAGTGATGGTGGTGGAGGATAGTGATGGTGGTGGAGGATAGTGATGGTGGTGGAGGATAGTGATGGTGGTGGAGGATAGTGATGGTGGTGGAGGATATGGGTGGTGGAGGATAGTGATGGTGGTGGAGGATAGTGATGGTGGTGGAGGGATAGTGATGGTGGGAGGATGGATGGTGGTGGGGGAAAGTGATGGTGGTGAGGATAGTGATAGTGGTGAGGATAGGATGGGTTTTTGGAGGATAGTGAGTGGTTGGAGATCGTGTTTGGGGGTGGAGGATAGTGATGGGTTGGGGGATAGTGATGGTGGGGAGATGTGATATTGGTGGAGGATAGTATGGTGTTGGTTGAAGAAAAAAAGGGCCCGCGTGGTTTAGTCTCCCTCACTAATAAAAGTGAGCTCACGCACATGCATTCCTTCACTGTGTCCTGGTTGATATCCCACTACCACACACACCACACACAACACACCACACACACACACACCACACACACACACACACACCCCCACACCCACACACACACACACTGGCTCCTGGAGTTCAACCCCCCCCCCCGTGCAAGTCATGAAGACTGGGGGAAGGGCAAAGAACACCGCCAGACGGAGTACAGTCTAGGGGGCCCAGAGACTAAAAACCCCTCACTAAAGGGAAAAAGATCTTGGGGTGAGTATAAACCAGGCACATCTCCTGAACGCACATCAACCAAATAACTGCTGCAGCATATGGGCGCCTAGCAAACCTCAGAACAGCATTCCGACATCTTAATAAGGAATATTCAGGACCCTGTACACCGTGTACGTTAGGCCCATATTGGAGTATGCGGCACCAGTTTGGAACCCACACCTAGCCAAGCACGTGAAGAAACTAGAGAAAGTGCAAAGGTTTGCAACAAGACTAGTCCCAGAGCTAAGAGGTATGTCCTACGAGGAGAGGTTAAGGGAAATCAACCTGACGACACTGGAGGACAGGAGAGATAGGGGGGACATGATAACGACATACAAAATACTGAGAGGAATTGACAAGGTGGACGAAGACAGGATGTTCCAGAGATTGGACACAGTAACAAGGGGACACAGTTGGAAGCTGAAGACACAGATGAATCAAAGGGATGTTAGGAAGTATTTCTTCAGCCACAGAGTAGTCAGGAAGTGGAATAGTTTGGGAAGCGATGTAGTGGAGGCAGGATCCATACATAGCTTTAAGCAGAGGTATGATAAAGCTCACGGTTCAGGGAGAGTGACCTAGTAGCGACCAGTGAAGAGGCGGGGCCAGTAGCTTGGACTCGACCCCTGCAACCTCAACTAGGTGAGTACAACTAGGTGAGTACACACACTAGTACATGTACTCTGCAAAAAGAAATATTTGTTCTGCAAATGATATAGACCGGGTTGTTTATAAGTAAGTTGTAAACTCAGGTATATTCAACAAATATAGTTTTGTCAGGTATTGCTTCAATATCTGCAAACATCAGTGTCACCATATTTATATTTTTCATTGATATAAATGCTGGATAAATTTCGTCTATTCATATGTAAGTTGAGTACTTGGGGAGGGTTTTGGGGGTCAGCGCCCCCGCGGTCTGGTCTGAAACCAGGCCTTGTGGTGGGTCTGATCAACCAGGCTGTTACGGCTGGCCACACGAGAATTGATGTAAGAACCACAGCCCGGTTGGTCATGTACTGACTTTAGGTGCCTGTCCAGCGCCTTCTTAAGACAATCAGGGGTCTATTGGTAATCCCCCTTATGTATGCTGGGAGGCAGTTGAACAGTCTTGGACCCCGGACACTTACTGTGTTGTCTCTCAGTGTACTCGTGGCGCCCCTGCTTTTCACTGGGGGAATGCTGCATCTCCTGCAGAATCTTTTTGCTTTCATAAGGAGTTATTTTTCGTGTGCAAGTTTGGTACTAATCCCTTCAGGACCTTCCAAGTGTATATTATTAAGTCTCTCTCTCGCCTGCGCTCCAGGGAATACAAATCAAGGGACTTCAACCGTTCCCAGTAATTTAAGTGCCTTATTGTACTTGTGTGCCGTGAAAGTTCTTTGTACACTCTTCAAGGCAGCAATTTCCCCAGCCTTGAAGGGGGCAGTTAGTGTACAGCAGTATTCCATTATTATTATTATTATAATCAAGGGGAAGCGCTAAACCCGGAGGATTATACAGTGCCTTGGGGGGGGGGGATGTGGAAGGCATTCAGGCTTAATTCGGGGAACTGGAGCACAGATCCAATTTCCTAAATCAAGAGCCCCTCACCAACATCAAGGAACCTTCCTTGAGGGGAGCAGTATTCCAGCCTATAGAGAACAAGCGATTTGAAGAGAATCATCATGGGCTTTGCGTCCTTAGTTTTGAAGGTTCTCATTATCCATCTTATCATTTCCCTAGCAGATGAGGTAGATACATTGTTGTGGTCTTTGAAGGCGAGATTCTCTGACATTATCACTCCCAGGTCCCTCACATTACTTTTTCATTCTATTTTATGGTTAGAATTTGTGGTATACCCTGATACAGTTTTAATTTCCTCAAGTTTTCCATATCTGAGTAGTTGAAATTTCTCTTCATTGAACTTCATATTGTATTAATTTATATTAAGTTAATATTGCAGACTTAAATCGTATATGCTGTTAATTCACCCAGTGATGAGTTCTTGATCCAAGGAATTGGAACTTCCCTTCCTTCGATGTAACCTGTCTGCCTCCCATCCCTCATGTCCTGTAATATGATGGAATTAGTACACTAAAACCAAGGAGGGTAACCCAGCACCTGAGGAATGAGAGACGGGGGTTTGATCCGAGGAAGGGTAGCTCAGATTCCTTGTATCAGGATCCTTCACTGGCGTTGACTCCACTAAAACTGCCGTTGCAGGTATCTTGAATCTGGAGAGCTGGAGTGGGTGCAGCGGATGGTGCAGTCACTGCTGAGGTGGTCTGAGGACGTGGGTACTGGCGTGGGTGCTGGCGTGGGCCCTGGCGTGGGCGCTGGCATGGGCGTGGTGATAGTGGACTGGTGGAAAGGCGCCCAGCCTCCCTACACTCAGGCTGTGGCTAACAGCCGTCTGGTGGGCGCCAGCACTGGCTACCTCATCCATGTTCTGGCGGTCACTATCACCTCTCCTGTTTTTTTTTCTCTTATTTACCAGTATTGACTACATCAGTAGTGTGCTGCTACACTATACGACTTACACAGTGGGAACACTGTGTTACTGTACTCTTCTAAATGATAATTACACAGTGGGAACAAAGACTAGTTATGCTTCCCTGTCACATTCCATCACACATAGTTGAGCTGTGAAGTCTCAGTAAGTGACTAAGATATTGTCATTTATTCCATTAAAGGCGTCAAGTACCGTATTCCATTAAAAGTTCAGTAGCCACGACAGCTTAGGAATTACCATCTCTCGTGATGGCCTATCCCATATATAGCAGAAATGGGAATTTAGAAAGATATCTTTATCACAGAATGCGACAACGACATTTATTTACACTAGGAAAAAATGGAGGGGATGGGGAGATGTAGACCACAATATATATGTAAGAATTTATATACCCTAGACCTTAGACTAAACCTCTGCATTAATACATTCACAATACGCGCTAAACTATAGGCCTCTACAGCATCTCTTCATCTCGAGGGAAGTGCCTCTTAGATCAAACCTTATCTCCCTTTCCAGACGCTGCATGGGCCCTACGTGTTTAACGCTTCTCCCTTAATGTAATAATCCATACCCACAGGAGTACTACAGTGTGGCCCTCAGCTCCGTACACCTGGTGGGTCACAGTCTGGGTGCCCACGTCATGGGTTATGCTGGCAAGTATGTCAAGGCTGTCAGAGGAGAGAAGGTGAGCAAAGGGTGGTGTGGGCGTGGGGAGGGGAGCGCTGTGGGCGTGAAGTGGAGGCGTTGTACGTGTGGGGGGGAGGGGGAGGGGTGCAGGGTAAGGCACGTGAAGAAATGATTAACGGAGTTAACCACGTGTACTTGTGTACACCAGGTTATGACGTATGACTTAGCCACAACTTTCCAAGCAGTTGACCCAGGTGCGGGGCCAGGAGCTGTAACTCGACCCCTGCAACCACATATAAGTGCACTCAGGTGCTGTGGGCAATCCTTGTTTACAGTTGTGAACTAAGAACTGTAAATTAAACTCTCTCCTGACCAGTGTGTTCCATGTATAATTTTATAGTATAAGTTTTGCTCTTAAACTGACCTTCACCCCAATTTTTCCTTAATCCAGCGGATGCCAGTGTAATAAAAGTCAAATATTCAATGGCTTATCGGAGCTAGACTTTCCACCCTCATTGAAAGACATCATCTGGTATACATAAATAGTTCGGAGAATCGATAAGTTGATAAATTATACATGTGCAAGACTTGAGTATCTTTATTGAGGAAACGTTTTTGCCATACAGTGGCTTCATCAGTTCAGTACAAAGAAGAATGGCGAAGATCAGAAGGAGTTTGAGGTAATCAGTCCTTCAGCTTGGAGTCGATGCACTCAGTTCATCAATCTTTTCAAGACTGATGGACTGCTTACATCGACTCCAGGCTGAGGGACTGATTATCTCACAAACTCGTGATCTTCACCAATCTTCTTTGTATAGGACTGATGAAGCCACCGTCTGGTGAAACGTTTCTTCAGTCAAGATACCAAAGTGTTGCACATACGTCTAATTTATCACCATCTGGTGTGTTAGGTGGGTCGTATCACTGGGCTTGATCCAGCAGGACCTTACTTTACTAACACCGCCCCGGAGGTACGACTGGACCCCAGTGATGCAGACTTCGTAGATGTCATCCACACTGACATCCCCACAGAGCTCTGGCAGCTGGGAAGTGAGTATACAGCTACCCATCTTGATTTATAATATGAATGTGACATATTTTTATTAGTTTGTAATTGTTAGGTACAGTATGTATTTGTGTGATTGGCAGACATATATACATAATAATTCACTAAATTATACTGTGGTTACATAATTCCACATACTGTATGCATATTGTCTCAACTTTATATTTTTCATTAAAAATTACCATTGTTGCAATTGATGTGAAATAAGATACCTGTGCAGTAATAAGATGGGTATGGGGTGCATGATAAACATATTAAACTGAACTGCAGTAATCAAACCCCAATGGAAAAAAGTTCTCGATGACATCCTGACTTGTTTGAATTATCCCGGGTTACTAACTATAGTTAGCTATCCGTGTTAATAATCCAAATTAAATCTTCTCAGGAAAAGTTTCAATTGTGTAAGTTTTTTCAGTCCTATTCAAAAGTTCCCAGAGTGAAAATATTCAATAGTCTGCTTTTACTGCAGGCTGCAATGGCTTATCAACCATCTTTTTCTAGAGATGGGCCATCCAGGTGCAATTGGACACATGGACTTTTATCCAAATGGAGGTTCTGACCAGGCAGGCTGTCTGGGTTCTGTTGTGCTCCACATAGACAACGAGAGGACCGTCGCAGAGGGAATACTGACCTACATTGGCTGTAATCACCAGAGGTCACACGACTACTTCACTGAGTCCATCCTCTCTAAGTGAGTCTGCCGTCTCTTTAAGCAAGTGCATCCACTAAGTTTATTCAGGTATACACAAATAGTTACATAGATTATCATACATAGCAGTATATGTGTAGAGAACCTTATAAAGAATCCAGTGTGTTAAGTGTTCAGAATGAAGACGGGTTAAGTCCCACTAGTTTTTAAGTCCCACTAGTTGTGGTTAACTAGAACAAACGACGGTGGTGTGAATATGATAGTATACAATACCGACAAGTTGATAATCAAGATACGTGTGCAACAGTTAAGTATCTTAATGTCTTCCTCTGCAGGACGCTGGACAGGAATACTCTTGAAAGTATAAATTCCTCTAACAAGGATAACTGACTTTGTTTTTTCTCACTATGACGCACATAACGAGGTGCTTAATAATCAAGCTAGTTGTTTTATACAATCAAATTTTAAGAAAATTCTACTTGGTTTTCGATCAATGTAGTTAAGATATAGGCATATTGCAGGTGCAGGTTTGTGGGTGCAGCATGTCCATCTTGGGAAGAGTATAAGCATGGGGTGTGCTGGGGGTGTCAGCACACCCTCTGTGCTACTATGGGCTTCCATGCCAGACCCCTACATATCCATACACCATCTACTCCTCGTGACAACAAACAAGACACTTCTAGTGGCAGTCACATCCCAAATACTATCAATAACTTCAGCTCTATGGACATGTCAGCGGCTGCCCAAAACATCAGCGGTATGGAGAATAGAAAGGACAGTGGGAGACAGTCGTCAGTAGAACCTGAAGAGTCATCAGTCAAGGTGTTCCTTGGTACCAGTCCTCAGGCACCCTTCTGTGGTAAGATGGTGTATTTAATAATACATACCTTTATTTCTACAAGTACATGTACAAGGTATACAGACCATGGCTGACATCAATGACATACTACTACGTATATAGAAAGCCGCTTGTTATGTAGAGCATCTCAGTCAAATTAGGTCAGTTTTGTCCCAGGATGATACCCACACCAGTCGACTAATACCCAGGTACCCATTTTATACTGATGGGTGAACATGGACAGCAGGTGTCTTAAGGAAACACGTCCTAATATTTTCCAGCTGTACCAGGGATTCATTCTCCGGACCTCAGTGTGTGAGGTCCGGAGGAAACGAAGCAAGTTTCTCTTCATTCTGGTCTGTATTACATGTCGACCCATGAAATGGCTGGGCCTTGGCTAGCCTACTGGACTCTTTAAAGGTGCTTAGATGCTGGGGAAGGCCTATTGATCCATGGAACTGGCGTGGCCATCAGATTACCTCCCATTACTCAGGCACTGATTTACCCTTTTGGGTTCAGCTCTTATTTATTAATGCAATAATAATTACCTACCAGAACTAGGTTTTACAGTTACAAACAAAACTACAGGAGTGTCTTGATGTAGTGACCTCTATTTGCAGTAGTTTATCTAACCCTCTTATTAATATTAATTGACATGTATATATGGGAAGGGACTGACACAAATCTTATAAAAAATGGAATTTGGGATCTTCAGAAGTGTGCCATTTTTTTAACTAGTTTGAAAAAATGATTTCGTTGTGAACATTTTATTTTTTATGTAAATTAAAGGACTACTGTATTGGCTGAGTCATCCACGGTGGTGCCTTTATGCTGGTGAAGAGCTCTTGATCCAAATAATTTGAACTACCCTACCTTTCCTTGGATTTAATCAGATTACCTCCCATTTCCCCAGTGCTGTATGACTTCTACGAGCTTTGAGCTTCCCACTAAATATATAATGAATTGCACGAGTTTTAGAACTGATAGCTCATGGAATACGTATTTCCTGGGCAATATCAGGACTTCCATTGAGATTTTGTTATATCTATATGAAACCACTAAACTCAGGAAAGCTGGGAAATGGGTAATCAAATTTGATCCAGGAAAGTGGAGGGCAGCTTATGTAGGCCCCTCCCTTGAGGGGAGAGTGAGGTACCTTCATGCTAGTTAAGACATGAAAGTCATCAATTAGGGATGAGGAACACATCAAGGAGGAATGAGACTAGCAGTGACTGGGCGAAATTAACACAAAGGATATTAATGGCGAACACTAAACCCATAGGGTCCATACTGGCCATACACTTCTTGGGAAATTGATGGTAATTAAGCTTGATGGGGCCTAGTTCCTAGGCCTTTTGTGTATCCATATGCTCTTGCACTACCTTTCACAGGATGGATATGGGGGGCACATTAAACTAGCCTCTTCAGTGACAAAATCTAAATTATTATTATAATCAAAAGAAGCGCTAAGCCACAAGGGCTATACAGCGACAAAATCTAAAACCGAGGAGGATGATGTCACTCTTCATTCCTCAGTCCTTCAAGGGGGAGGGGGTCTTGATGCTGGTGAAGGCCTCGTGATGTAAGACTATGAGCTCCCCTCCCTTTCCTTACATCAAACCTTGATTGCCTTCTATTTTCTTGGTACTGTATGTCCCCTACAGATTTAGCACTTACCCCATGATTATTATTATAATCAAGGGGGAAGCGTTAAACCTGTAGGATTATACATCGCCTGTGGGGGGGGGATGTGGAAGGTATTCAGGTTTAATTTGGGGAACTGGAGCACAGATCCAATTCCCTAGATCAAGAGCCCCTTACCAGCATCGAGGAACCTTTCTCGAGGGGCCCGTGAAGAAGAGCTCTGCCGGTCTGGTGGTGCGTTGCTGGAAGTGTTGACCTTCTCATGTCAGTTTAGTTAAGTTCAACCCCTCTGCCCATGTTTTATTAGGATTGTATCAGTTTCTCATGGAGAGCACTAAAACCATAAGGGGGTCATGCACCACCATGGGGAATGAGACAATGAAGATTTGGTATAAGGGACCTTAAGGTAACTCCAGTTCTTTGGATTAAAGAGACCTTCACTGGAGTCAAGCACTTCACTTGAAGAGATCTGAACATAACTAGTTCAACAGTGTTAATGTATCATAGCTTCCTTATATATTTCATATGAAGACTTGCAATATTCTTGTATTGTATTCCCTTAAGGGAGTTTCCTTGAGGTTGGTGAGGGGCTCTTGACCCTCCCCTTCCTTGGATCGAACTTGATTACCTCCCATTTTCCAGGTGCTGTGGTATTCTTACACATTTAGTATTTTCTGGTTAAAATAAAACAAATACATTTTGTCAACAGGTGAACAGTACAGAGTGAGTGTGGTAACAGCCTTGACCCCGGCCTCCCTCAGGAGTGGAGGTGATCTTGCCAGGTTCACCGTCACACTGCAAGGTCATCGAGGTCAATACACAATCCCTGCACCCCAGAGGTCAGCCTCAGTCATTGTATATTAGTACCTATATTTCTTAACATCCTAGGTAGTAGGTTGGTAGAGAGCAACCACCCAGGGAGGTACTACCGTCCTGCCAAATGAGTGTAAAACGAAAGCCTGTAATTGTTTTACATGATGGTAGGATTGCTGGTGTCCTTTTTTCTGTCTCATAAACATGCAAGATTTCAGGTATGTCTTGCTACTTCTACTTACACTTAGGTCACACTACACATACATGTACAATCATATATATACACACACACACCCCTCTTTTCTGCTGTTTTCTTTCTAGTTCTTGTTCATTTCCTCTTATCTCCATGGGGAAGTGGAACAGAATTCTTCCTCCGTAAGCCATGTGTGTTGTAAGATTATTATTATTATTATTATAATCAAGGGGGAAGCGCTAAACCCGGAGGATTATACAGCGCCTGGGGGGGGGGATGTGGAAGGCATTCAGGCTTAATTCGGGGAACTGGAGCACAGATCCAATTCCCTAAATCAAGAGCCCCTCACCAACATCAAGGAACCTTCCTTGAGGGGTGTGTGTTGTAAGAGACGACTAAAATGCCAGGAGCAAGGGGCTAGTAACCCCTTCTCCTGTATAAATTACTAAATTTAAAGAGAAACTTTTGTTTTTCTTTTTGGGCCACCCTGCCTCAGTGGGATACAGCCAGTTTGTTGAAAGAAAGAAAATTTCTTAACATTCCAAATGTACACTGTCTGGAGTTTTTATTTTGTAGGTATGATTTATCTTAAAGATTTTAGTTGTACATCAACATTTACAACTTATATAGTAGTACCTGGATATAGGAGGTAATCAGGTTTGATCCAGTTCCTTGGACCAAAAGCCCCTCACCAGCATCAAAGGATCTCTTGAAAGGGTGAAATTTTGTAACCTATTCTAAGGAGGGTACAGTTGTCTTTAAGTGTGTGATGTTACATAATGTGAGGCATTGACCCCTCAAGGAAAGTTCCTTAATGCAGATAACTGCATTTAGTCATCACTTCCTTTGGTTGAACCTGATTGCCTCCCATTTCCCCAGGTACTGTATGGCCCTACATGTTTTGTGTTTTCCATGAATAATAGTAATAATAAAATAGTAAAGTGCAGTAGGGTAAAAGTTTTTTTTTTTAGTTTGAAGGTTTTATTTACATTAATTTGGTTTCTTGATGTGTTCATGAACAGGCCAACATTTGTGGAGGCTGGAGGAAGAATGTCTTGGCTGGGCTTCACTCCTTCACTGGGGCACCTGCATGCCCTCCAGGTGGAGTATGAGAAGGATCATGGCTTCCTTCATGCTCTCATCTTCAGGTTCAACCCACCAACTCTTTATGTGGATTACTTCGACATTGAAGAACTCTCTACTGGGCTTTTGTAAGTATAAATTTGTTTTTAGGGATTATTATTCATGGGGCAGAGGTCATTCAGCTTTCATGGAATTGGAGGGAGTAATAGTTTGATTCAAGGAGGGGATGTTAACAATTTCTTGGAGCAACAACCTGTCACTTAAATACAAGTACCCATCCCACATAAAGGATCGTCTTTCTGGGGAATGTATTTCAGTGATCCACATTTATTTAAATAAAAGTATCCTGGTGTTGAATTGTCAAGAGTAAGAGTTGATTTACAAGGTGGGGATGATGAGGTAGAAAAAAGAAAAAGTAGAAGACAGAGCTTTGATGTTTACCTTTCATTTTAGGCTTCACACACAGTTTGCATTACAAAATCATAATTGTTTTAGCACAAAAATAGTACATTCAGTAGGCAAGTTACACTAAATGCCAAATTTGTTATGCATATCTTTTTGTAAGGTTCGTATTAAGAGCAGTGTTTCAGACAGGTCTTAGGCTTTCATTATATTTTTATTATTATTATAATCAAAAAGAAGCACTAAGCCACAAAGGCTATACAGCTCATTATATTATTGATATACAATATGGATAAGTAAGACATGTGTGGCAGTAGAGTATCTTTATTGTTGAAACCTTTCACATGCTTAGCAGTACTGCAGTTAGGTACTGGAGACCACAGAAGCAATGGAGTAGTACAAAGTGTTGAGGTAAGTACTAATTTTGAGGTAAACAGTCATAAACATCTCCAACTTTGGCATCTCCTTTCTGGCTCTAGTATTAAAGGCTCTACTTCTGATGTTTCCAATATTTAAGTCACCTCTGTATTGACCAAAGAAGCCTGCTAAGTGACAAAACATTTTGCCAATAAATATTACCAACCTTTGCACAAGTCTTGTTCATCCAATTCTTAGGCTAACATTTGAAAGGGGTTCAGTAATTCTGAAATACCTTGCCACTGAAAGGAAGCCTGGACTTCTAAATTTGACAAATATGAAGTTAGTCTGTATAACCTACCCAGCACATTTCATATTTTCAGAACACGCTTCCACTTGTGTGGGAAGCAAATGGAAGCTGGAAGGAGCTACACACTTGTCCCAAAAACCCAGTGCTTGCCCCTAGAGTGACTTCACCCAGAGCGCACCTCCACATACTAATTTGTAAAATTTTGTATGTCCTGTGAGAGTGGTGTTGGCAACTCATCAAAAACCAAGGCAGAAAGTACAGTACCTCACTGCTCATTATTCTTGGATTATATATAAACATTGTCTTAACCTCCAAAAAGAGGCTTGTTGATATTACTGTGTACTGTTGCCATAGTTATTTCCTACCAAGGTAGTGTGGACCACTGAAGAAAATATGTTCACCAATGCACACTTGATAGCTGTCTTTGCAGAACTACAGTGACATCACAATTCAGATGACCCCTCCAAAATGCAACATTCTCACCCATGTTTTAGCATTCAGACACCATTTCCCACATCCAGAACTCTTAGTTTCCTGACTAATAACACATCACATACATATTATTATTATAATCAAAAAGAAGCGCTAAGCCACAAGGGCTATACAGCGCTGCAGGGTAGGGAAGGAAGCAAGGGAATTGGATGGCAGGAGGGAGGGGGGATGATCAGCAGGTTACAGAAAACAGCGGGGCAGGGGATAGTACGGGGGTAGAGGGTAGCAAGAGATACAAGTAGAAAGGGCTGAAAGTATCAGAATTTGTGAAGTAAGTCAGTCGTTGTCAAAAGTCAATAAGAGAGTCCGGATGAAAGGTGGTCCATCACGCGAGAAGGGAAGGTAAAGAGAGAGCAGTGGGGCGAAGACGACGACAGAGGTAAATTCTGCGTGCTCGTTGATAAAGGTGGGCAGTCCAACAGAATGTGGCTGACTGATAATGGAGCTTGGCAATTCTCACAGAGAGGAGCAAGAACGCCTCTCCATGAGATATCCATGAGTAAGACGAGTATGGCCATGCGAAGACGGGAGAGAGTAGTCTCCCAACCTCGACACTGGTGATAAGAAGACGGCCAGTAACCTATACTCGGTTTAATAGACTGAAGTTTGTTGCCGAGCATAGTAGACCAACGTTGTTGCCAACGGGTGTGAAGGTGGGAAGATATTACAGCAAAATAGTCCCGTACATGGAATACCTCTGTAAGAAACTGGTAGGTCATGTACTGCTGACCGCGCAGCAGTGTCTGCCTGTTCATTGCCCTGTACGTCAACATGACCAGGGACCCAACAAAAAAACAATATCTTTATGCTTAGTAAAGATGCGGCGTAGCCAAAGTTGGATACGGAGGACTAAGGGGTGAGGTGTATCAAATTTTTGTATAGCCTGTAAAGCACTAAGGAGTCTGAGACAACCACAAATGATGACACAGGCATAGATGCAATACGGATAAGTGCTGTAAGGATGGCATATAATTCAGCAGTAAAAATACTAGCTGAAGATAGTAAATGCCCTTGTACGACGCTGTCCGAAACACTGCTGCGAATCCTACGCCGTCAGAAGACTTAGAGCCATCTGTGTACACAGCAATGGCATGAGAATGAGAGTGAAAGTGGTCAAGAAAAAGAGAGCGGGAAGCGACCGTAGACAGTTGGGCTTTCGAGCAAGGGAGGAGAAAGAACAGACTCGAACAGCTGGGACCTCCCAGGGGGGTAGGGAAAAGTGAGATGCTACATGTACATAGAAAGGTGGTAGTTGAAGAGAAGACAAGAGCGAATGAAGGCGAAGAGAGAAGGGACGGAGTAAGGCAGGGGCGGCGAACAAATAAAGAATGTCTACTAATATCAGTGACCATTCTATAAATGGAAGGATTGCGGAGATCATGAGAGCGTACATAGTAAGCGCAGGCAATGGGCATCACGGCGATCGATAAGGATGGAACGTTCGCTTCTGCATAGAGGCTTTCGACAGGGAAGAGCGAAAAGCACCAAGGCATAAACGTAATCCTTGGTGATGAATGGGGTTAAGGCTAGAGAGAGTAGCAGAGATGCCGCTGAATAGATCTGGTCACCATAATCAAGTTTCGATAAAATAAGGGTGGAATGTAGGTGAAGGAGGGTTCGACGATCAGCTCCCCACGAAAGATGAGCAAGGGTTTTAAGAAGGTTCAGCCGGCTGTGACAAGTTGCCTTCAGAGAGGTAATGTGAGGTTTCCAGGATAACCTACGATCAAAGAGGAGGCCCAGAAACTTGACTGTATCACGTTCAGGGATACGTGAGCCATAGAGGTACAAAGGATGATCAGAGATGACAGAGCGTCTAGTGAAAAGTGATTTGGTGGGTTTTAGTGCTGGAAAATTTAAACCCATGTGTGGTGGCCCAATTGGAAACACGGTCGACTGCATGCTGGAGAGAAACTGTAAGGAGGTGACAGTCAGCGCCTGCACAGGCAATAGCGAAGTCATCAACATAGAGTGATGACCAAATATTTGATGGAAGACTAGAGGCCAAATCATTAATAGCAAGGAGAAAAAGTGTTGTGCTCAGAACACATCCCTGGGGGACACCTTTCAGCTTGGACAAAGTCCGGGGAGAGCACATTATTAACCCGAACACGGAAATGCCTGTCAGTTAAAAAGTTCTTAAGGAAGGATGGTAGATTGCCTCGAAGGCCTAAGGAGTGGGCTTGGGCTAAAATATTATACCTCCAAGTTGTGTCATATGCCTTCTCAAGGTCAAAAAATATGGCAATAACTGAGTGGTTATTCGCAAAGGCATTACGAACATACGTATCCAAGCGCAGTAAGGGGTCTATGGTAGAACGTCCCTTACGAAAGCCATATTGACGAGTGGAGAGACTGTTGTGTGTCTCTAAATACCCACACTAAACGTCTATTTACTAGACGTTCCATTACTTTGCAAACTGCACTGGTAAGAGCAATGGGACGATAGTGGGAGGTTTCATGTCCCGTAGTGCCTGGTTTGCGGAAAGGGAGAACAATGGCGGATTTCCACAGCTGTGGAAGAACTCCTTGTGACCAAATAAGATTGTAAAGGTGTAATAGGACTGCAAGGGCTGACTGATGTAAATGTTGTAGCATACGAATATGAATGTCGTCGGGCCCAGCTGCCGATGATCGACAAGCTGAGAGTGTTGCCTCCAGTTCTTGAAGTGTAAAAGGCACATTATACTGTTCTTCTCTGAGAGAAGAAAAGTCCAAGGGTGCTAACTCTCTGGCAGACTTTGAGAAAGAAATGAGGGGCATAGATGGAGTCCCTGCGAAATAACGGACCAGATGATTGCCAATTTCATTGGCAACATCTAGTGGGTTTGCTATATCAACACCGGCAACCCGCAGAACAGGAGCCGGGTCAGGAGAATATTTACCACTCAGTTTTCGTACTTTTTTCCAGACTGCACTCATAGAGGAAGCAGAGGTGATGGTGGAGACATAATCTCGCCAGCAAGTGCGTTTAGCGTCACGGATGACACGGCGAGCGATCGCACGCTTCTGTTTAAAATCAAGGAGTCGCTCTGTGGTTCTATTGTACCGGTACCTGCCCCATGCAGCGCGTTTTCAAACGTACTGCACGAGCACAAGCAGGAGACCACCAAGGCACGCATTTCTGAGAATGCCTGCCCGAAGTTTGGGGTATAGAATGAGAAGCTGCGGTGAAAACGGAGGACGAGAAGAGGTGTAAAAGCTCATCGATGGAGGACGAAGAAGGAACCTCTTTAAAAACAGTCAGGTGTGAGTAAAGGTTCCAATTTGCCCGATTAAATTGCCAGCGTGGGGTGCGAAGAGGTGGCGAATATGAAGGGGAAGTAAGAATGATTGGGAAATGATCACTGTCATGTAAGTCCGGGAGAACAGACCAAGTAAAGTCTAATGCGGCGGAGGAAGAGCAAACTGAGAGATCGATGCAAGAGAGTATGAGTCCGAGGATCAAAATGGGTGTGAGTACCTGTATTTAAAACATGGAGGGGTGGGTGGCAAGAAAAGCCTCTAACTGAATTCCACGGGAATCACAGTGAGACCCTCCCCAGAGGAAATGGTGGGCATTAAAATCACCAAGTAACAGAATCGGTGGCGGTAATGACGAAACAAGGAAGGCAAAATCCGGAATAGATAATGCCCGAGAAGGAGAGAGATATAAAGAACAGAGCGTATACCACCTATGTAAGTGGATACGGGCTGCTGTGTAATGCAGCGAAGTATGAACAAATAGCTGATGGTACGGAATATCAGTGCGGAGAAGAAGGGCACTTTCATTAAAGGTCCCATCAGGAAAAGGATCTGAAGAATACAATAAATTATAGCCTGAGATGTGAGAAATAACAGCAGAGTGTAATTTTGGTTCCTGTAAGCAAACACCAACAGGGGCAAACTGGGAGAGTAACATCTGAAGCTCACCCCGATTACCCCTGAGGCCGCGTATATTCCACTGTAAAAAGGCCATGATTGGCAATGATAAAGATACTTGAAATCCGCAGGTAAGGGTTCCTACGGACTAGAAGGGTTAGAAAAGTCCACATGCGGAGGCAGTGGAAAATGTTCAAGCAGCGAAGGAACGGTGCGCTGTGAAGAAAGGAGTTGCGCAGATGGAGCAGAGGAGAGAGGAAGAGCGGAAGGTGGATCAGTGTCCATTGATGGTTTGGTCTCTGCAATATATTCAGAGATTGCTTCAAGTGTTTCGGAATTCAGAGATGTCGTATGGAGACAATATTGGGAATGGTAGGGGAGGATGAGTAAAGATTGGAACTGTATGGACTGTACCAAGGTAGGGGGGGGCGAAAGGGTGGAGGGAACTGGAGAAGCGTGGCAGGGACAGAAGAGACAAGAACCTGGGAGGTGGCAGAAGAGGAAGAAACTTGGGAGGGAACAGGGGAGGAAGGTACATTACGAGGAGGAGGGTGAACCTCTGCACTTGTAACTGAGCCAGTGAGAGGGGAAGAACTAGGGACAGAGACAGGGAGGGTAAAATGAGGAGTGGAAGATGGGTAGGAGGTGTTACCGGACCTTTTTTTGACTTTTGAGAAGTAGAGGTGACGATTGGGAAGAGGTGTCGTACGAGGTCTCATCGATACTGAGGCTTGTAAGAGAGAACTCGAAGAAGCGAGATTAGACTGAGGCGTTGAAGTAGGGACGTCTGAGCCGAGGACAGCAAAAGGATTAGATACAGGAGTGATTATGGGAGAGGTAACCACAGAGGTGGGTGTAGAAGATGGGATACCAGAAGTGGGGGGACGTTTTGAAACACGGGAATAAGAAACACGTGGGAGTCTCCCTTGGAGGCGGAGATGAGAAACTGCCATGGCATAAGGAGACCTTCTGTCTCTTTGAGGTAACGGATTTCCCGCTCGTTTTAAATAGACCTGACAACGGCGAGAGTACGAAGGGTGAGCCTCATGACAGTTAAGGCAAGAGGGAGATCGATTGCAAGACGTATTAGAATGGTCATCGGCACCACAGACTGGGCATTCGGCGATAGATCTGCAATATTTCGCTGGATGGCCAAATCGCAGCAATTTCTACACTGTTGTGGTGTAGGGATCACCTTTCGAACTTGTAACGATGTCCTGCTATATAAACGGAGGATGGGAGTTCTCGGCTGTCAAAAGTTAAACGAGCCACATTGCTAGGGTATCGTCTCCGCCCACGGCAGGAAGAACGTAAGTGTCTACCTTGAGGATTGGGAGATCTTGGAGTTCCAGCTGTTCTAGAATGTCGGTGCACATGTCTGGAAATTTTGTTGAACTATGGTATGGGCAGAATAACGGTACCACTACAAGAATTGAGGAATGATGTTTTTCAAGGGTGACAGGAACAGTATCTATATGGGTAAGACGAGAGAGCTCACGAGCCTGGGTAGCATTCTGTACGGTAATGATGCGCGTACCGCTCTTAAGAGCATGAAAGAAATATCTTTACCAACATGGCGTAGGAGTGCCTTGCCAATACTATGGTCAGAAAGATAGGCAGTAGAGGAAGTTGGTCGTAAAGTGAAGAATTTAGTCCACTGTTCAGTCTGAAACTGAGCGTGGAAAGGTAGTGAAGGACGTGTCGATCGTTTCTGAGAAGAACGAGAAGGTGAAGGTGGAGAAGTATCATCAGCAGGTAATTGTCGTTGACGTTTAGGCGTGGGACCAGAGTTGGTCCGACGTGGAACGGGTCGGCGATTTGAAAATTGCCGGCACCGTAGAGGGAGAGGCCGGAAGCTAGTCAAAGGAGCGAAGGTCTGATAAATCGAAGGAGTCAGTCGAGCCTCAGTACCTGAAGCGGGTGAGGAAACAGCACCGCAATAGGTACAGAGGCATGAGGAATGTCTGAAGAGTGGTCCAAAGACGAGGCGGGGTCAGAACGGGGGTGCGGTATCAAGAAGGGGCCCGGGGGGGGTACCAGGTTCATGGACTAGGGCTGCCAATGGTTAGGTACTTCTTTCTTTTTGTTTTTAAGAAAAAAAAAGAAAGAAGAAAAGAAATAAAAATAAAAAAAAAAGAAAAAAAAAAGGGGGGGACCGGGGAGGGATAGTTCCTAGAGGGATGAAAGGGCCAGAAATCTCCCTCCGCGCCCAAGAGGACTCGACACCGCTAGTAGCGCAGATGCAGCATGGAACCCGTGCCATACCCTACCTCATGCCAGTAAACCAGCAATCTGGGATAGCAACTCACATCTGCCGAGCTACCTTCGGTGGACAAAAGAAGAGGGCGGCCGGATATCCGCCACAAAGCATACCTCATTCAGCCACCACCCCGGAATCCGAAAGGTGGCTTCCAGAGCTACACCGTCGCCCAAAAGACACCCAAAAGCTACTCCGGGATACGGAGAGGGATCGGACATCCCTAGGCAATCCAGATTCCACGGCAAACCTACGCCACCGCCAAGAAACCTCAACGGAATGGGATGGACCCGGTGTCCTTTCTCCTACCTAGGAACTAGCGCGCCTGTGGAGAAATCCCAAAGGACAAAAAGAGGAAGGGCAAAAGGGAGGAGTGGGGAGAGGAGGAGGAAAGGAAAAAAGGGGAGATGGGGAGGATGGATAGGGAGGGAGATTGGGGGGTAATTAGGGTTCTGAGGAGAAACCGATAGGTCTAATTCCTCAGACCAAGAGCCTCTTCACCACGCCAAGGAGCCCCCCTTGAAGAGGACATCACATACATAAAAATCACTTTTCTCCATTTAATTTTTTTTTTTTTTTTTTTTTTTTTTTTTATCACCAGCAGTCTCCTACTAAAGACATCACCCATATTTTGATCCACATAATTCTTGACAAACATTGACAGCACACACGAGCCATAGGAGCAATAAATCGGTAACTGTTACAGCCAGGAGTTTTAACAGTACTGAGAGACCTGTGACAATGTATGGTAGTGAGGTACTGTAGCAAGTTCTTCACCCATCTTAACAGGGATTTTTTTTTCCCCATAGCACTGTACTTTCATCAATGTATAATAATTATTTTAAATTTTTTTATTATAATAAGAAGCGCTAAACCACAGGGGCTATACAGCGCTGCAGGGCAGGAAGGAAGCAAGGGTATCAGGTGGCAAAAGGGAAAGGGATGATTAGTAGGTTACAGAGAACAGAATTATTTCAAAAATTATGCTGAAACTGTGATAGTTACTATAAATAATTTTCTGGATGACAGGATGCTCAGCAGTAGCTAGTGTTTTAGCATGGCAATGAGGCTGAGAAACAGTAAAACAGGACTGTGTTTACTTAGCAAAGACAAAATTTTGTGAAGTCAAGACTTTTCTCTGTTTACTGTTTGTTAGATGATTCAACAGTCATTTACCTACTTAAACTGGTATACATACTTACTAATTTTAAAGGCTATCGCTTCAAAACTTTCGTTTACTGGTGACTATTATTACATTGGATCTGTGTTCAATTACTTGAATAGAGCCTGAATGCCTCCCATTCTGCCAGGTACTGTATGACCCCTATGGGTTTAGCACTCCCCCCATGAATGTAATAAAAATGTCACTGGCATACATTAAACCCGTAAGAGTCATACAGCACCTGGAGGAATGGAAGGCAATCAGGTTTACCTTAATTTAATCTAAGGACAGGGAGAACAGGTTCAATTCCTTGGATCAACAACCCCTCACTATCAGTCAGGCACCTCTGGAGGGGTTAACCAAGTAGGGCCTGCCTAGCATAGGTCAATAGGCCTACTGCAGTGTTCCTCTGGTATTATCAGTGAAATACATTAATCTGTAATTACTCTCTCCTATAACAAGCAAGATGAGTTTTTATATGCACACAAGTGTGTTTGTGTGCATTTAATATATATACAGTGCGACATTACATATTTTTTTTTTTTTCAACAAGTTGGCCATCTCCCACCGAGGCAGGGTGACCCAAAAAAGAAAGAAAATCCCCAAAAAGAAAATACTTTCATCATCATTCAACACTTTCACCACACATTATCACTGCTTTTGCAGAGGTGCTCAGAATACAACAGTTTAGAAGCATATATGTATAAAGATACACAACATATCCCTCCAAACTGCCAATATCCCAAACCCCTCCTTTAAAGTGCAGGCATTGTACTTCCCATTTCCAGGACTCAAGTCCGACTATATGAAAATAACATATATGAAAATAACTATATGAAAATTACATATACACATGTATTTTCAACACACTGGCCATCTCCCACCGAGGCAGGGTAGCCAAAAAAAAAAACTTTCACCGTCATTCACACATAATCGCTGTCTTTGCTGAGGTGCACAGATATTACAGTTCAGATATCATCCAAACAGCAAATATCCCAAACCCCTCCTTTAACCCCTTCAGGGTCCAAGGCCCAAATCTGAAGTGGTGCCCCAGTGTCCAAGAATTTAAAAAAAAAGAAAAATTGTTATTTTTTCTTATGAAATGGTAGAGAATCTTTTTGTGAAGGTAATAAAAACAAAAAGTACGAAATTTGATGGAAAATTAACAAAATTATGCTCTAGCGAATTTTGATGTGTCAGCGATATTTACGAATCGGCGATTTTGCCGATTTTGACTCCCATTTTAGGCCAATTACATTATTCCAGTCAACCAAATTCTTAGCTATTTCACTAGTATTACTTCTATTCTATCGACTGAGCACAAGAAATCGCCAAGTCAACTGTTTCAACTACAAATTAAAGTGATCGGAAATTGTTAATTTGGCCAATTTAACACAAAGTTCAAAATATTCCAATTTCAAAATAGGGTTCAGAATAAACAATGTAGGTATTCCTGGAACTAAACTAACATTTCCTCTGTTCATTAGTTACATTTTGAGGCTTTACAAATAAATTCCATTTTGAGTTTTTATTCACAATGAATTTTTATTCACACCAAAAAATAGAAGATTTACTGTTATGCAATACTGTAATAATTGTATAAATATCATCACCATATTTGTGAATGCATATTAGACCCACCAGCTGGCGTGTATTAGACGTGTGAGGTCGTTTGTTTACTCTTGAATATCGGCAAAAATTTAACATTTCTGCTACTTTGAGCTCAGTTTCAAGCCATTTCCTGTGCTAAAACCAATCAAAATCATCTCTATTTCTGTAATATGTCTTCCATTCTATCAAATGAGACCAAGAAATCGCAAATAGAACTATAAAAAACATACAAAAAAACACTGCAAAGTCGCTGTTTTAATTGAAAAATCATGATTTCAGTTTTTTCTCTTATTATACACAGCGTGCTGCAGGATCTGTTTTATGTGGTGTACACATACCACAGATGTATTCTCTCATATCTAGGCCCAAATGTACCACTCACAGTTTATCAGAGTGAGCTGAGCTCATGACGTAGATCTGTTTTGATGGTTTGGACCCTGAACGTAAAGCCGTAGATCTACGGGACGGACCCTCAAAGGGTTAAAGTGCAGGTATTGTACTTCCCACCTGAAGTGTTATTCAAAAAGAACTTTAGTTGTTTTTTCTAGGTCACCCTGTTTTGGTGGGATACGGCCAGTGTGTTAAAAAAAAAAAAAAAAAAAAAAAGTGTAATGAACTCTCGACAATGCTCAACAAAAACTCATATGAAGAGACACACTCAGAAGATTGATTTATCTGTATAATTTGATCCCCTTCAGAGGATTCCAGAAGGGGACTGAAATATACAGATTTATCAAACTTCTGAGTTTGTCAGCCTAGGAAAGGTTGGAGGGAGGGGGTAAAGGAGGTTTTGTGTGCGAGGGGCTTGGACTTCCAGCACGCATGCGTGAGCGTGTTTGACAGGAGTGAATGGAGACAAATGGTTTTTAATACTTGACGTGCTGTTGGAGTGTGAGCAAAGTAACATTTATGAAAGGGTTCAGGGAAACCAGCAGGCCGGACTTGAGTCCTGGAGATGGGAAGTACAGTGCCTGCACTCTGAAGGAGGGGTGTTAATGTTGCAGTTTAAAAACTGTAGTGTAAAGCACCCTTCTGGCAAGACAGTGATGGAGTGAATGATGGTGAAAGTTTTTCTTTTTCGGGCCACCCTGCCTTGGTGGGAATCGGCTAGTGTGATAATAATAATAAAAATAATAAATATAAATACGTATTTGTATACATAATTTGTATTTATAAAGGTGCTTATAAATTATACTCCTTTTCGAATTGTTGGTCGATAACTTTCATTTGTTGCATCTGAAAAAAAATATATTGTATCTGAAAGTAAAATTAATGTTGCACTAAAAAAAAAACTTATAGTTAAACCCCCCCCCCCCAAAAAAAAAAATTATAAAAACTGAGTAAAATCAACATGACTAGGAATTTCAGGCTATATCATTGTGAAAACAAACATACCTGAACTAATTCTATCAGAATCCTGGAGGGAGTTGCAATATACTGTATACTAAATGACTTACAATTGTATAGATTTTGTTCCATTCCAGGACGATAGTGCACAGCCACCTTAACTCCAGACAGTCGCAGAGCTTCAATCATGATGTCGATGCTAGGATTGATATAAAACTCATCAATCTCTAAACTCTCTAGAGCTCGTAGATGCTTGAATGTAGTTTCATCCTGGAGAACACACAAAATAGTTACACTACATATAGCAAACTTACTTGTCTGGTACACAAAGTGAAACCTATAATTTTTACGTGTGCACACATTGCCCTGATGTAACAATCTCTGTTACTTTACTACAGTTCCAAGCAGTGCTGTATGACCTTAGTGGGCTTAGCAATTGGTTTTGATTATAATAATAGTAATTACAGTCCCAATAATATAAGCATCAGCCTCACAAAGTGTATCAAAAGTTTTCTCGCCCTCAAAATGAATTATAGTTTGCTTGAAAAGGCCAGAAAGGCAATATCTATGTAAGAAAGGAGGTAGAGAAGGGGAAGAAGGTGCATGTGCATACATGTGTATGTACGTTTTCGTGGAGTTTTGCTCAGCATGTAACATTATCTATTATTAAATTGTCATGTTTACTGTAGGTGTATAAATTATATTAATTTGGAAGGGAGAAGGAAGCACTTTCAGTTGTATTTACTGAATTAGAGTAAAATACCCATACAGTACATGGCTAGTTGTAAATTTTAACAGTTGTATGCCGTTCAGGACATTTATTAGAGGAAATAATCTGAGACGAGTTGCTTCATTGTAATGGTTAGTACTGGTACAGACATTTGTAGTGATATGTTTCCTCTAATAAATGTCCTGAACCATACACAAGTGTCATTTTCCACACAATAAATGGTTGGAGTTGCCAGTCTATAATACATTACCTGCAGGTCTGCCAGCATGATAGGCACTCCCTTATAATGGTTTGACATAGTTATCTCCTGTGGCCACTGGCTGAGCTCTCTTGGAATGTCCTCATGGCAGGAAATGACAGACAGATGCTGCAAGTCATGTAACACAGCCAAAGATCCTCCGATACATCCATAAACCTAGGGAAATTGTATCCAAACTGAATAAAAAAAATTATTAAATGTCTCAATAATTTAACTTCTCTAAAAAACTGACACCAATTTATTCGTCAGTTTCTCTATAAAATGTTAGTAGCTTCATATTCAAACAGTACAGGAAGGCCCCGCTTTACGGCGTTCCGCTAATACGGACATTTCAAATTATGACCAAAACTCGCTATACGGCTCCCCCCACCTGACTTTCTAATACGGTCACCGTGCCCCACCCTGTTTGTTTACATTCTCCATGAGCTCAGTAAGCACTAAGTCTCTCCATTTTGTCTGGAAACTCCAAAATTTCAAATGTTTTTAAAAGTTATTTCATATTTTATATATACTCTGATAATTATACTTATGTATACCTGTACCTAAATAAACTTACATACTGTGCTGGCATGCAGGTACACATTAAAATTGGTAAGTGTTTTATGTCTCCAGACGTCATATTAGTAATGATAATAATAATCATCGAGTCATTTAACCCTTTGACTGTTTCAGGCCCCTCTCTGAAACTGTCATTCTATGTCGCTCAATTTTTGAAAAAAAAAAAATTTTTTTTTCTTATGAAATGATAGAGAATCTTTTCCCGATGGTAATGACACCAAAAGTTCGAAATTTGGTCGAAAACTCGTGGAATTATGGTCCCGCGAAGTTAGCGGTCTCGGCGACATATGCGCATCGGCGATTTCGCCGACTTTGAGCCCAATTTTCAGCCAATTCCATTGTTCCAGTTGACCAAACTCATAGCTATTTCTTTAGAACTCCATTTTATCTATCAGCTGAGTACAAGAAACCTCCCATTTACTAATTTGGACTACCCAATATGGTGGTCAGAAATTGGCAATTTGGCCAATTTCACGCAAAATAAAAAAGATGCCAATTTCAAAATAGGGTCCAGAATAAACAAGGTAGACATTCGTGGCACTAAAATAACATATGCTCTGTTCATTAGTCACATCTCTAGGCCCCTCTTATATTATTATTGCTTTCTATTTTGATTTTTTATTCATACAAAAAAATACAAAATTTACTGTTATGCAGACGACTGCATTATTGTAAAAATGGTATAAATAATTTTCAGTGCACTAGTGAAAGAATATTAGACTCCCTAGTTGACGTGTATTGACGTGTGGTGTGATTTATTTACTCTTCAACATTGTAAAAATCGAACATTTCGCTACTTTGAGCTTATTTTTTCAAGGTCGTTTTCATCGTAAAAGTAATGAAAATCATCTCTATTTCTGTAATATGTTTTCCATTTTATCACCTAAGACCATGAAACGCGAATACAACGAAAAATACTAAAACAAAAAATACACCTCAAAGTCGGCGTTTTATTCCAAAAAAAACGATCAGAGTTTTTTTTTTTTTCTCATTACGCAATGTGTGCTGCAGGATTTTTTATGTGGTGAAACACTGACCACACAGACCCATTCTCTCAAAATGTGGGCCTACCAGCTTTCTCCCACTTGTTTTGAAGCCGCTAGAATTATTGATATATATACGTCAGAAAAAATTGGCTCGTAAGACGTATTTATACGTCGAAAACAGTCAAAGGGTTAAATGTTGTATATTACTTAATATACGCATTTTCAATTAATCCATCCATGATTTTTTTTTCAAAATTATATAATAAACACGATGCAAAAACAAATAAATAAGAGAAATCCCCCCCCAAACATAGAATAAATAAACATAAATGTGAGATGTGGTAGCAGACGACTTGCACAAGTGAGCCATATTAAAATGATAATAATAACAATACTCACCGAGTCTCATTAAATGTCGTATATTACGTTAATATACCCATTTTCATTAATCCATCCATGATATTTTTTTTTCAAAATTAAATAATAAACACGATCATAACAAAAAAGATGATAAATACACCCCACAATAGAATAAATAAACATAAATATAAGATGTGGGAGCCACAAAAACTTGTACAAGTGACGGCAAAATAACATTTTCTCTAATCTAACATAGAGAAAATGTGTTTACTGGGGGGTAACTGTAGAAAATTATTCCTTTCGTATGAAATGTAAGTTTTTTTCAGGTAATACACAAATACAGTTACATAGATTATCATACAAACAAATACGTGTAGAGAACCTAGGATAACCCAAAAAAGTCAGTGTGACTTATTTCCATTGCCTTCACTCAGAGCTTCATTTCTTCTCAAAATGATGTTACATGAGAAGGGGAGTGTTCTTCTTTATTAATTCTACCGTATCAATGTAGGACAACCTGTCCCCAATGTAACTTGTACACAAACCAGACTTTTACACTTCGTTTGTTTACAAAACTTACGTTCGCCTGGTTTGTTTACATAACTCGCACCTGTCCCTCTCATGTACTCATTCTTTCTCTCTCTCATTTATTCGTTTTATCTCATTTACTTACTCCTGACCCTACATTAAGACTACAAATATTTTAAGGTAAGTAATGAGTGAACTGTATATACATTTAAACGCTCTGGGATGCTTAAATATCATAGAATATAAAGTGTGGGTGGGGTGGCCTGGTAAGGTAGCCTGGCTATTACCATCCATACCACACTTGATTTCCTACAATAAATACTACTTGTCTCACCCTAGATTAAGACTATAAATATTTTAAGGTAAGTAATGAGTGCACAATGTGTGTATTGTACTTTTTTATTGTTTTTTGATGCCTGGTTCTATTGCTAACTTAATATATGTTAGTGTAAACTTGTTATCTAGTATTTGTATGCATTTATAAGTGGAAAAAAAGGGTGTTCCACTTTACGCCGGTTTCCGCTTTACGGCGGTAGCCTGGAACCTAACCTGCCATATAAGTGGGGCCCTCCTGTACATAGAATGAGAATACCACCAAGTTGTAGTTGATGGAGAGACAAGCAGCAATTGAAACTGATGTGGGACAATGTTATAACAGCACAGAAAGCTTTATGAAGTCTGATACATCATACCTGGTGGTAGCATGATATACAGGTAGAAGACAGGAATGTGTGTAAATATACACCCTGCCTCGGTAGGAGACGGCCGACTTGTTGAAAAAAAAAAATATAAGAATTTAAGCAAATATTGGAGCATTGCATTACACAAATTGCCTGCACTTAGGTAAGGGAAAGTAGCTACGTTCTGGCCCAACTTGCACCACTAACAAGTCACACTTGTTATTACTCTTCTCCTCCTGTGGGTTATTTGTGTATTGTTCCAGCCATGGTAGGCCTACTGGCTTACAATGGGTAAATCTTGAGACAAATTTGCATGCTGAGTACTACTGGTTATAGTAGTACAGGTCCACATCTCTTTATTCGAAACCCTTGAGGCCAGTACTGTGTCAAATTTCAGAATTTTTTGAAGTTCAGAATGATTCTCAACTCCGCCACACAGAGGCGTGACCCAGCACTGAGATGGTTGATGCTCCACACTCCATGAAAAGCCTTCGGTTTTCGGAACTTTTCCAATTTCAGAATTTTGGATAAAGGGTTTGTGGACCTGTAGTACTGGTAGTGGTTAGAATTTCTCAGCAGTATACCTAGTTTAATATCTGTATAGCTAGAGGGTTTTTCCCATTTTTGTTTGATGTCATGATTAGAGCTATTTTATAGGATTTTTCTCTTGTTTTTCCTTCCTTTAAATATTAAATGAGTTCTGAATAAAATATCTCATTAGATGGTTGTGTGAACTTCAATGCTGGACACATGCATTATTCCTAATATCAGTATGGGTTGTCTGTATACTTATGCTCATTGATTGGTTTACTTAAGATTCTGGCAGTTTCTCTCGCATAGAGTAGCAGTCATAACTTTTTTACTTCCTGGGATCTCTACAATAGAGGCAAAGCCACAAAATATACAACATATAAAGAAGCTTGTCTACAAAAATCACATGCAACAAAATTTATGTGGGAGAAACTTTTAGAAGCCTAGGTACTTGTCCAACATAGGAGTTCACACAACCTGCTAATGAGAATATCACATTCAACACTCATGATAAAGGGAGAGTAATAAAATTGAAAATACTATGAAACCGCTTCAATCATGACATCAAACAAAACCAAGGCAGCTTCCAAAGTGGCAAAAGGTCTAGCTATAAAGATACTGAACCAGGTCTACTGCTGAGAGCTGTCAACCACCACTACTACAACCCGCACTATTCAACATGCAAATGTGTCTCATGATTTAACCAGCATGGGCCAGTAGGATTATTGCAACGTTCAATATTTGCTTAAATTTTTAAATTTACAGTACACCTGGCTATATTCCTGTCTTCTACCTGTATATGTATTATGCTATCACTGGTTTGACCTATAAGACATGATAAAGTCTGCTGTGCAGCCAAAATGTTGTCCTAGATAAAGATTCCAATTCCTGTTTGTCTATATCAACTAGAGCTTCATATTCATCCAAGCAGTACACTACATAATTCCATCCAGAGTATATACAGGAGTCCTCCCCTGTATCCACCGGTGATACGTTCCAAGACCTACTATGGATGCCCAAAATCATGGATAGTAGCAAACCATATAAGTCATTTTTTGTTCACATACATAACTATGATATTGTGCATAATTTATCAATTGAACTTTGTCAAGAATTAGCATACCATACCCCCGGCCGGGATTGAACCCGCGGTCATAGAGTCTCAAAACTCCAGCCCGTCGCGTTAGCCACTAGACCATTAGCATGTTTTCACTGATGGGAAGCACTTCACAACTTCTCTTATGCTTTTAAGAACTGCCACCATCACTACTTTACACTTTGGGGCCATTATTAAGCAAAATTAAAGTTATTTTCAGGCCACAGTATACTGCGGATAACTGAAACTGTGAAAGCTAAATCTGCAGATACAGGGGTTCTACTGTATATATATTGTACTGGATTTCTCTATTTTTTTAAACACCCTGGCTGTCTCCCACTGAGGCAGGGTGACTTAAGAAGTAAACAAACACTTTCACCATCATTCACTCTACCACCATCTTGCCAGAGGTGTGCAGATACATACTATCATGGTATTCATATTCTTAGCTTAACATTTCTTATCCAAACTTGTTTTCATTGTGCACACTCATACTATATTCACTTGGTGTTATACCTCTCCCATTTCCCCTTATCAAACTAAGTCCTAAATCCCTACTAGTTAAACAGAAGATTATTAATATAAAGTATGCTGTACTGCTACACCAGCCTCTCATACAGTACATAAACACATTGTTTCCAACAAATTAAGTCTACCAGATGTTACCTTTCAATCACTGTAATGTGGTCTGATTTCTGGTGGAGAATTATAAAATTTTTGTTTAGGATTTAGGTTAAATTAATTAAAGTAACCTAACCTAAAATAACTAATAATTAATTCTGCAAGATTGCTTAGATCATTCAGAAACTTAGGGGTTGTCTATACTGGTATTTTCACAGTACATTAAAAATTATTCATGATGAATTTATAATAACCATTATACAGTAGAACCCCCGTATCTGCGGGGGCTTCGTTCCAAGGACCTGCTGTGGATACTGAAAATGTGGAAAGTAGCAAACATATGAAAGTCCTATACATACCTATTATAAGTTTAATTAATAAATTATGCACAATAAGTAGAGAATTATCACTTTTTCACTGATGGGAAGCACTTCAAGGCTTCTCTTAGGTTTTGAAAAACTGCCAGCTTCTCTACTTTTGCACTTTGGGGCCATTATTATGCAAAATTAAGAAGTGTTTTTGGGCCACAGTAAACGATGGATATTAAATCAGTGGCTATGGGGTTTCTACTGTACATGAAACATGATAAATAATTTATCAAATAATTTGTCTACTTTAGGGGAACACAAACTTTATACTGTCTCCATATACTAACATTTTCTTTATAGTTTACAAACTCACTCTGATGACATACACATTGCAGTGAACAATTACCTTTTAAACTGAACATCATACACAGCAACAACAATCAAGAAGAAAAAGCACTACACGAAGAACAAACCTGTATAGTACATGATAAAACTGATCCTGAGCAAAACAATGTCTACAGTGAAGGTTTGTCATTGCATGGTTTTTAACAATTAATTTTAGAACTAATTCACTGATAATTCATCATGGAACCATGGTGATGTGTTAGTCTTCAAATGTAACTTCTTTTTCTCAAAACAAAAGCTAGCTTACTAAATATAGAGTTGAATAAAGCACCATGTTGTATTATTATTATTATTATAATCAAAAAAGAAGCGCTAAGCGCACCATGTTGTAGAATTACACTTATAGTGGTGGAAAGGGCTAAACCCATAAGCTTATGGTCATTCAGTATTTCACAACCAATGTGAAAAAGAGAGTGGAAGGAATGAGGTGATGTTGAATGACGGACATCAACAGGAAGAGTTTAGTTAAAAAATCATAGTTTAAATTTATGTGGGACTGTCAAGAGAGAAGGAAGGACTAAGCAAGTATTGAAGATGTTTGAAATGAACAGAGCAATATGTGAGACATGTTGGACTATTAGGGTGACCTGGCACTCCTCACAGAGTAGTACTGAGTGCCGTAGAAGTGCACACCTAAGATTCACTTACTAAATATGGAGCTGGTGCAAGCAAAGTGTTGTAAAAATAAAGCTCCTTAACAAATGAGAACGATGACAGGAAGCTTATTATGTCTTTTGCATGTAAGTTTATTTCTTCTGGTGATACCCAGACATCCACTCCAGGGGAGATAAATTCAATAACCAGGATTTTGATTCTGGGCAGCATGGCACTCTGCAATTAAATAAGACAACATGTAACAGTTTTTGCAACTATAGAAAACAAAACTGCTTTGTTTACAAATAAAAGGTAATGAGCAAAAAAAAAAAAAAATATATATAAAATCATTGGCATTACATGTAAATGAGATATTTTCTACTGAAACAAATTTTTTCCTAATGAATAGAATTTAATCCAATATTATATGGCTTGAAACAGTTAGAGAGTGTAAATAGTTATAAAGAAAGTGTGTTTTACGAGGATCAAAATCAAAGTGCTCTGTAGCTATTATAAAATATGTAAGTTTTAATATGTAAAGTTGACTGACATGTTCAAAAAAGCTTCTCTAAATATTCTAGTGAAGAGGCAAACAAGCTGATGTTTGCAGCGAACGAATATTTGACCAATATTATATTACATGGGTGTGAAGCTTGGGTTGTAAATGCTGCAGCGAGGAGGCGGTTGGAGGCAGCGGAGATGTCCTGTCTAAGGGCAATGTTATTTATTTATTATCACACTGGCCGATTCCCACCAAGGCAGGGTGGCCCGAAAAAGAAAAACTTTCACCATCATTCCCTCCATCACTGTCTTGTGAGAAGGGTGCTTTACACTACAGTTTTTAAACTGCAACATTAACACCCCTCCTTCAGAGTGCAGGTACTGTACTTCCCATCTCCAGGACTCAAGTCAGGCCTGCCGGTTTCCCTAAACCCCTTCATAAATGTTACTTTGCTCACACTCCAACAGCACGTCAAGTATTAAAAACCATTTGTCTCCATTCACTCCTATCAAACACGCTCACGCATGCCTGCTGGAAGTCCAAGCCCCTCGCACACAAAACCTTCTTTACCCCCTCCCTCCAACCTTTCCTAGGCCGACCCCTACCCCGCCTTCCTTCCACTACAGACTGATACACTCTTGAAGTCACTCTGTTTCGCTCCATTCTCTCTACATGTCCGAACCACCTCAACAACCCTTCCTCAGCCCTCTGGACAACAGTTTTGGTAATCCCGCACCTCCTCCTAACTTCCAAACTACGAATTCTCTGCATTATATTCACACCACACATTGCCCTCAGACATGACATCTCCACTGCCTCCAGCCTTCTCCTCGCTGCAACATTCATCACCCATGCTTCACACCCATATAAGAGCGTTGGTAAAACTATACTCTAATACATTCCCCTCTTTGCCTCCACAGACTCCTAAGTGCACCACTCACCCTTTTCCCCTCATCAATTCTATGATTCACCTCATCTTTCATAGACCCATCCGCTCACACATCCACTCCCAAATATCTGAATACATTCACCTCCTCCATACTCTCTCCCTCCAATCTGATATCCAATCTTTCATCACCTAATCTTTTTGTTATCCTCATAACCTTACTCTTTCCTGTATTCACTTTTAATTTTCTTCTTTTGCACACCCTACCAAATTCATCCACCAATCTCTGCAACTTCTCTTCAGAATCTCCCAAGAGCACAGTGTCATCAGCAAAGAGCAACTGTGACAACTCCCACTTTATGTGTGATTCTTTATCTTTTAACTCCACGCCTCTTGCCAAGACCCTCGCATTTACTTCTCTTACAACCCCATCTATAAATATATTAAACAACCACTGTGACATCACACATCCTTGTCTAAGGCCTACTTTTACTGGGAAATAATTTCCCTCTTTCCTACATACTCTAACTTGAGCCTCACTATCCTCGTAAAAACTCTTCACTGCTTTCAGTAACCTACCTCCTACACCTGCAACATCTGCCACATTGCCCCCCAATCCACTCTGTCATATGCCTTTTCCAAATCCATAAATGCCACAAAGACCTCTTTAGCCTTATCTAAATACTGTTCACTTATATGTTTCACTGCAAACACCTGGTCCACACACCCCCTACCTTTCCTAAAGCCTCCTTGTTCATCTGCTATCCTATTCTCCGTCTTACTCTTAATTCTTTCAATAATAACTTTACCATACACTTTACCAGGTATACTCAACAGACTTATCCCCCTATAATTTTTGCACTCTCTTTTGTCCCCTTTGCCTTTATACAAAGGAACTATGCATGCTCTCTGCCAATCCCTAGGTATTGTGTAGTGTAAATATTATGCAGAAAATTCGGAGTGTGAAAATTAGGAGGTGTGGAGTTAATAAAAGTATTAGTCAGAGGGCTGAAGAGGGGTTGTTGAGGTAGTTTGGTCATTTAGAGAGAATGGATCAAAGTAGAATGACATGGAGAGCGTATAAATCTGTAGGGGAAGGAAGGCAGGGTAGGGGTCATCCTCGAAAAGGTTGGAATGAAGGGGTAAGGGAGGTTTTGTGGGCGAGGGGCTTGGACTTTCAGCAGGCGTGCGTGAGCGTGTTCGATAGGAGTGAATGGAGACGAATGGTATTTGGGACCTGACGATCTGTTGGAGTGTGAGCAGGGTAATATTTAGTGAAGGGATTCAAGGAAACCGGTTATTTTATATAGCCAGACTTGAGTCCTGGAAATGGGAAGTACAATGCCTGCACTCTAAAGGAGGGGTTTCGGGATATTGGAAGTTTGGAGAGATATGCTGTGTATCTTTTTACATATATACTTCTAAACTGTTGTGTTCTGAGCACCTCTGCAAAAACAGTGATTATGCGTGAGTGAGGTGAAAGTGTTGAATGACGATGAAAGTATTTTCTTTTTGGGGATTTTCTTTCTTTTTGGGTCACCCTGCCTCGGTGGGAGACGGCAGACTTGTTAAAAAAAAAAAATTATTGAAGAAGAAATAACAGCTCAAAAAAATATGGAGACAACCAGAAAGGTTTTAGTAAAAGTAAAATGCAACAATAGTAATACTGACCCTAGTCTCTCCTTCAATGGGAACGTTAAATTTAACAATTGCCTGTGGAGTGAGTTCCAGGGTCAAGTGTTCTAAATTGCTCATCTCTGCCAGTAGTACCGTCAGCTCCAGGTTTGTTAATTTGGAGACATCCACAGTCAGATTTTTCACTTGCTTCATTGGTATGATCTGTCAGGTAACATAGAATCAAATTAAATAAACTCAAATTTAAATTACTGTATAAGAAGGTCTTTCAGTGTGGTGATGTACCAACACCACTCTTAGAGTCCTTGCCAGAAAAAATATCAATGTGGCCACGACAGCTACTGAGTCCATGGAAGATTTCATCAGAAAGCAACCTACTACTACTACCCCAGTGTCCATCACTGCTGTGTACACTATCCTGTCTTTGGCACTGAGACAAGAAGTATTCTTGGAAGACTGGTAGAAGTTTATCTATTAGGGTTAACTAACATAAATGAACATTAACCCTAACAGATATCCTCTTCTGTATAAATTACTAAATTTGAAAAGAAAAACTTTCGTTTTTCTTTTTATGTCACACTGCCTCAGTGGGATATGGCGGTCTGTTGAAAAAATATATATATTTTACTTACTGAATAACGTTACTGACAGGTAAACAGCAATGAAAATTGTAATACTGAGAAACCAATAAGTATAATTCATGAGTGACTATATCAGTTTCAAAATGATACACACATCTCTACCAGCCTTGGATGATACTGCCAGAATCTACAATGATCGTGTATGCAAAACATATATATAAAAAAAATTACATACAAAATATACTCACTCTGCACAGTAGAGGCAAATCTTTGTGAATATTCTCAGCATTGCTGACTGTCAAATGAGAGAGCATAGGGCAGGCATTCATCACCCTCTTCAACTCTATCATGTCCAGGTCTTTATGATAGTTAATGGTCAAAGTGGTCACAGTTAATTTGCGCTCATTACAACGACTGCCATTTGTACTCTGTGGGGATAGCGGGGAATCTCTTTTGTTCACTGTGCATTTTCACTAATGAAGGATGTTGATGGTAGGTCCAATGACAATAAATGTTGTGTATAACATTAAGTTCCTTTTATCAAAGCATATTTTCATGATTAAATTAATAAGAGAGAGCAAGTACAATAAGAGAAGTGAAGAGAAAAGGAGGGAACAGATAAACAAAAATGCAAGTCAATACATGACTGATTACTGTACCCTCTGTTTGGCTTCCATATCAAGGAGGAAAAGAACAGCAGTGTAAGTGTCCCACGACTGCAGGGTTTCCACTGTCTTTAGACTGGGTTGGATGGCCAAGGCAGCAGCACCCAGAGAGAGACGCATGGTATTAGCCTGTCCTCGGGTCTGTAGCATGTTGTTTCTCAGTACCTCCAGGTGTGGCAGAGACAACTGCCAACAAATCGGGTCCTGAAATACAAGAGGGCCACTATGAAACTTACTTCCAAAACTGGAACATTCAGCTACAATGAAAAAAAGCAATTTAGCATATCTTTCTTTCTTTCGATGCACCAGCCATATCCCACTGAGGTGGGGTGGCCTAAAAGGACAAACGAAAGTTTCTCCTTTTAAATTTAATAATATATACAGGAGAAAGGGTTACTAGCCCCTTGCTCCCAGCATTTTGGTCGCCTCTTATGACACGCATGGCTTACGGAGGAAGAACTCTGTTCCACTTCCCCATGGAGATAAGAGGAAATAAACAAGAACAAGAACTAGAAAGAAAATAGAAAAAAAACCCAGAGGGGTATGTATATATATGCTTGTACATGTGTAATGTTGGAGTGGTTGGTACTTTTGTTTAATAAATGTATGAAAGAGGGGAAGGTACCTAGGGATTGGCAGAGAGCATGTATAGTCCCTTTATATAAAGGGAAGGGGGACAAAAGAGATTGTAAAAATTATGGAGGAATACGTTTACTGAGTATACCAGGAAAAGTGTACGGTAGGGTTATAATTGAAAGAATTAGAGGTAAGACAGAATGTAGGATTGCGGATGAGCAAGGAGGTTTCAGAGTGGGTAGGGGATGTGTAGATCAAGTGTTTACATTGAAGCATATATGTGAACAGTATTTAGATAAAAGTAGGGAAGTTTTTATTGCATTTATGGATTTAGAAAAGGCATATGATAGAGTGGATAGGGGAGCAATGTGGCAGATGTTGCAAGTATATGGAATAGGTGGTAAGTTACTATATGCTGCAAAGAGTTTTTATGAGGACAGTGAGGCTCAGGTTAGGGTGTGTAGAAGAGAGGGAGAATACTTCCCGGTAAAAGTAGGTCTTAGACAGGGATGTGTAATGTCACCATGGTTGTTTAATATATTTATAGATGGGGTTGTAAAAGAAGTAAATGCTAGGGTGTTCGGGAGAGGGGTGGGATTAAATTATGGGGAATCAAATTCAAAATGGGAATTGACACAGTTACTTTTTGCTGATGATACTGTGCTTATGGGAGATTCTAAAGAAAAATTGCAAAGGTTAGTGGATGAGTTTGAGAATGTGTGTAAAGGTAGAAAGTTGAAAGTGAACATAGAAAAGAGTAAGGTGAAGAGGGTGTCAAATGATTTAGATAAAGAAAAATTGGATATCAAATTGGGGAGGAGGAGTATGGAAGAAGTGAATATTTTCAGATACTTGGGAGTTGACGTGTCGGCGGTTGGATTTATGAAGGATGAGGTTAATCATAGAATTGATGAGGGAAAAAAGGTGAGTGGCGCATTCAGGTATATGTGAAGTCAAAAAACGTTATCTATGGAGGCAAAGAAGGGAATGTATGAAAGTATAGTAGTACCAACACTCTTATATGGGTGTGAAGCTTGGGTGGTAAATGTAGCAGCGAGGAGATGGTTGGAGGCAGTGGAGATGTCCTGTCTAAGGGCAATGTGTGGTGTAAATATTATGCAGAAAATTCGGAGTGTGGAAATTAGGAAAAGGTGTGGAGTTAATAAAAGTATTAGTCAGATGGCAGAAGAGGGGTTGTTGAGGTGGTTTGGTCATTTAGAGAGAATGGATCAAAGTAGAATGACATGGAAAGCATATAAATCTATAGGGGAAGGAAGGCGAGGTAGGGGTCGTCCTCGAAAGAGTTGGAGAGAGGGGGTAAAGGAGGTTTTGTGGGCAAGGGGCTTGGACTTCCAGCAAGCGTGCGTGAGCATGTTAGATAGGAGTGAATGGAGACGAATGGTACTTGGGACCTGACGATCTGTTGGAGTGTGAGCAGGGTAATATTTAGTGAAGGGATTCAGGGAAACCGGTTATTTTCATGTAGTCGGACTTGAGTCCTGGAAATGGGAAGTACAATGCCTGCACTTTAAAGGAGGTGTTTGAGATTGGCAGTTTGGAGGGATATGTTGCGTATCTTTATACGTATATGCTTCTAAACTGTTGTATTCTGAGCACCTCTGCAAAAACAGTGATTATGTGTGAGTGTGGTGAAAGTGTTGAATAATGATGAAAGCATTTTCTTTTTGGGGATTTTCTTTCTTTTTTGGGTCACCCTGCCTCGGTGGGAGACGGCCAACTTGTTGAAAAAAAAAAAAAAGTGTGTGTAGTGTAACCTAAGTGTAAGTAGAAGTAGCAAGATGTACCTGAAATCTTGCATGTTTATGAGACAGAAAAAGGGACACCAGCAATCCTACCATCATGTACAACAATTACAGGCTTTTGTTTTACACTCACTTGGCAGGACGGTAGTACCTCCCTGGGCGGTTGCTGTCTACCAACCTACCACCTAGAATTTAGTATATAACAAGTAAATTATTCTGCAAGATATTCCATGGTTATTTATTTTAACACCTTAGTCATTTGCCATGAAGGCAAGGTAAAATGACAAAGAAAATTTGTTTAGTGTCACTCATTCAATCACTGTCTTGCCAGAAAAGCACCATCATCACAATTCAGATGACCCTACCAACCACAACATCCCCACCATCCTTCAGAGAGCATGCACCATACTTTCCACATCCAGGACTTTTAAGTCCAGCTAACTCGTTTCCCTGAATCCCTTCCTAAATGTTACCTTTTTCACACTCCAACAGCATGTCAAATCATAAAAGCCACTTACCTCCACTCACTCCTTACATGCTCACACAAGCTTGTTAGATGTCCAAGCCCCTACCACTCAAAACCTTTACCCCCTCCCTCCAACATTTCCTAGGGCAACCCATACCCTACCTTCCCTCCACTACAAATTTATATGCCCTCCTAGTCATCCTAATTTTCTCCACCCTTTCTAATGTCCAAACCACCTCAATAACCCCTCCTCAGCCTTCAAAATAATACTCTTTTTGTAACTCCACACCTTCCAATCTCCAAATTCCCTGCATAATATTCACGCTACACACCCCTCTCAAATACAACATCTCTCCTGCCTCCAGCCTCCAACTCAGTGTAACATTCAAAACCAGTGCTTCACACCCATATACTCTGGTACATTCCCTCTCTCGACTCCATGGATAAAGTTGTCTCCACAGATACCTCGATGCACTACTCATCCTTTTTCCTCTGACATTCTTATGCTTCACCTCACCTTTCATAGAACCATTTGCCAACAAGTCCCTTCCCAAATATCCAAGCACATTTACTTCCTCCATACTCCCTGTTACGGCCCCCTGCCAAACTAGCGGTTAAATAGTTAACCTGCCGGCCGGCAGTACCACTGGGTACGTCATCAAACCCATTGTGGGGACTGCTGAGCCGGCCTTAGAGCAGTACGTACCTAAACACCTCACGGTACACATCTACTGGCTTTAGCAGCATTAAGTACCTGAACACCTCAAGGTACACAGCTAAGCAGTAATTACCAGAACACCTTACAGTATAGATCTACTGGCAGTAGAGAGTATTCTACTGGCTTCTACTGATTTTAGAAGAGCCGCTCACCGCAGCTCAGTGAGTCTGATGGCCTCAGTTACTTGACGGCCGCACTCAGTGAGCTTGCAGCATGGTGTTCTGCTAGTAATTCATCGGACCACCTTGCGGTATCAACTGGTCTTGAAGGCGGTAGATAGTACTCACCAGATCATCTTACAGTGTACTTCTACCGGCCTTAGAGAGTATTTACAGGACTACCGGTGATGTCTGCGGACTCACCGCCTATGCTGGTCAACTGTGGGCCGGAGTCAACTGATGCTGTTTAGTGGGACATTACATGAAGAAAAGGTTGGAGTGTTACACTGAACCGGGCCAGGACCGTAGTGTGACACTTAAGGAAGTATGATGGAGTGGAACACTGAGATATGCTACAGGATCGTAGTGGAACACTGAGAAGAAAAGGGAGTCGTGTGACACGGAGAGCTGGAGTGTCGTGGGACACAGAAAAGGGTGTCAAGTGACACGGTTGTGAAGGAGCGTCATTACACTGAGAAAAGGGTGTCCAGTGACACGGTGGAGAAGGAGCGTCACAACTCGAATAAGTGTCGTGTGGGACACAGAACGTCATTATAAGTGTCTTGTGAGACACGGAGTTGATCATAATTTATTATTATACAAATGTTATTTATAATTTATTATTTTAGCATAGATATATATATATTATTATTTTAAGATGCTAATAATTTATTATTGTAACATGTATATATATTTTAAATACCTCTAGACCAAAGATTGATTTTTATATTATATTAAAGATTAATTTATTTTAGGGTGTATTATGTATCCCGAACTCTTTACAGTATTACAAAATAAGTAAACCTACCATCTCTAAGAATAACTTTTTTTGTAATACTCCCTCTTTCCAATCTGATATCCAGTCTCTCATTGCCCTTATTTTTTGATACTCTCGTCACCTTGCTTTCCCCTATATGCATTTACTTTTAATTTCTTACTTTTATATTTCCTCCCAAAGTTGTTCACCAATCTGTGCAACTTCTCTTCCGAATCTCCCTAAAGAACCGTGTTAGTGGCAAAAAAAGCAACAGTGAAAACACCCACTCTATACCAGATTAACTATCCTTCAGTCTCACAATAATAATTACAGAGGCTTCATATTTTTTATATGATAGTTTAAACAGATTCATAATGGATAATGTCATTAGGGAAGCAACACAGTGACTGAGAATGATGCAAAAATTTTTTTTTAAGGGGGAGAGGGGTGTCACCCTACCCTAGTAGAAAACAGCTGGTGTTAAAAATATATATAATAATAATAATATTTTTAACCCACCACCACTCATCTTTCACCAAGAAAGGGTAACCCGAAAAAGAAAAACAAAGATTCTAATTCCAAAACCTATCCCTTCTATCAGAATAAAGATTTTGCCTTTAACTCTTTCAGGGTGGGTCCCGTTGTACTATGGCTTTGAAGTGCAGGTCAGTCCCGATATTCTATGCCATGATCTCAGTTCACTCAGATAACCTGTGAGCAGTAAATTTGTGCCTAGATGTGAAAGAATGGGTCTATGTGGTAAGTGTGCACCATATAAAAAAATCCTGCAGACACAGTACATAATGAGAAAAAATCTGTGACCGAATTTTTCGTTTAAAACAGCGACTTTGCGGAGCTTTTCGTATAGTTTTTATGGTTGTATTCTCGGTTTCTTGGTTTCATTTGATAGAATTGAAGATCTACTGCAGAAATGACTTTGATTAGTTTCAGGACCAAAAGTAGCTTGAAATTAAGCTCAAAGTTGCAGAAATGTTCAATTTTTGCCAATATTCCACAGTACACAAATTACATCACTCGTCCAATACGTGTCCAATTGGTCAGTCTGTGTTTACGAATGTGCTGACATTATTTATACAATTATTACAATAATGCAGTATTCTGCATAACAATAAATCTTCTGTTTTTTTTGTGTGAGTAAAGATTCAAAATGAAAAACAACTGTAATATAGCAGAGACCTGAGGACATGACTAATGAATAGAGGAAATGTTGCCATGCCAGGAATGTCTACACTGTTTGTTCTGGACCCTATTTTGAAATTGTCAATTTTTTTTATTTTTTTTTTGTGAAATTGGCCAAATTACCAATTTCTGATCACTTTATTGGGTAGTTGAAATGAGTAAATGGGTGATTTCTTGTACTCAGTCAACAGAAAAGAAGGAATACAGTGTACCCCCGCATACCGTTGGCATCACATAACGTTAAATCCGCATAGCGATACATTTTATCACTAAAATTTTGCCTTGCATAGCGCTAAAAAACTCGCTCAACGCTATTCGTCCGAGACGCGTCTATGTGAGGCCTGAGCCAGCCTCACATGTTCCGCCGGTGGCATTGTTTACAAGCCAGCCTCCGCGGTAACATCCAAGTATACAATCGGAACATTTCGTATTATTACAGCGTTTTTGGTGATTTTATCTGCAAAATAAGTTACCATGGGCCCCAAGAAAGCTTCTAGTGCCAACCCTGTGGTAAAAAGGGTGAGAAATGTTATCGAAATACTGTGGTACCATGGTCAACTGCTGATGCTGCTGCTGCTGTAGCACTGTCAGCTGCTGCTGCTGCTGTAGCACCGTCAGCTGCTGCTGCTGCAGCACCGTCAGCTGCTGCTGCTGCTGTACCACCATCAGCTGCTGCTGCTGCTGCTGTAGTACTGTCTGCTGCTGCTGTAGCACTGTCAGCTGCTGCTGCTGCTGTAGCACTGTCAGCTACTGCTGCTGCTGCTGCTGTAGCACTGTCAGCTGCTGCTGCTGCTGCACTGTCAGCTGCTGCTGCTGCTGCTGTAGCACTGTCAGCTGCTGCTGCTGCTGTAGCACTGTCAGCTGCTGCTGCTGCTGCTGCTGTAGCACCGTCAGTTGCTGCTGGTGCTGTACCACTGTCAGCTGCTGCTGTAGTACCGTCTGCTGCTGCTGTAGTACCGTCTGCTGCTGCTGTAGCACCGTCTGCTGCTGCTGTAGCACCGTCTGCTGCTGCTGTAGCAGTCAGCTGCTGCAGCACCGTCAGCTGCTGCTGCTGCTGCTGTACCACCGTCAGCTGCTGCTGCTGCTGCTGTAGTACCGTCTGCTGCTGCTTTAGCACCGTCTGCTGCTGCTGTAGCACTGTCAGCTGCTGCTGCTGCTGTACCACCGTCAGCTGCTGCTGCTGCTGTAGTACCGTCTGCTGCTGCTGTAGCACCATTGTTGGTGTGGCTTATTGAGAATATCAAGAAACAATTAACCCCAGAGGGTTAGCCACCCAGGATAACCCAAAAAAGTCAGTGTCATCGAAGACTGTAACTTATTTCCATTGGGGTCCTTAATCTTGTCTCCCAGGATGCAACCCACACCAGTAGACTAACACCCAGGTGAACAGGGAAAAATGCCTGGAACTAGTGCTCATATTTGTGAATTTAAAGCCAGCAAAGGTTGGTTTGAGAGATTTAAGAATCGTAGTGGCATACACAGTGTGATAAGGCCTGTTCTGGAAGAAAATGCCAAACAGGACCTACAGTACTCAGGAGGAAAAGGCACTCCCAGGACACAGTGTCTCATCAGTCATTGCTGCATCTTCAATAAAGATGTCATTTATTCTTCATTTAGTAGACTAGTACATGCACAATATATATTGTGCATGTACTACTCTACTATTGTGCATGTGTCCTTCTCTTTGTGTGTAGGAAAATGTATATTTCATGTGGTAAAATTTTTTTTTTTCATACTTTTGGGTGTCTTGCACGGATTAATTTGATTTCCATTATTTCTTATACGGAAAATTCATTCGCATAACGATAATTTCGCATAACAATGAGCTCTCAGGAGCGGATTAATATCGTTATGCTGGGGTCCACTGTACTAGTGAAATAGCTATGAGTTTGGTTGACTGGAACAACAGAACTGGCCAAAAATAGGTGTCAAAGAAAAATATTATTCTCGAATTCATGGATAAGCACTAAACCTGTCGGGGTGATACAGTGCTAGGCAGAATGGGAGTGCACACAACTTCTAACCAAAGAAGTAGAAGGCAGGTCCAATTCCTTAGGTTAAGAGCTTAATAGAATTATCTTCCTTGAGAGGGGAGGGGTCCCTACTTATGACGGGCTCTCTGACCAGTATTTATACATAAATACTGGTCAGAGGTATATTAGAGCTGATTTCCTCTATTCTGTTTATTTCAATATACAGTACACTACTATATAAGCCTTTAAAAATATACCAAAAATGTTATAAATGGTGCAAAGGTAACATTAAAACAATATCAAAAATGGTTGACACAAACCCACTACCATTATAGCATACCCCTCACTTAATGATGAATTAGTTTAACAACGGGGTCTTAGGTACAAAACTCTGTTGTTAATTGAGGAGAGGCTGTAATATATAAGGATCAGACTCCATGAGAAAGCACAGAAGAATCCTTCCTCCATAAGCTGTGTGTCGTAAGAGGCGGCTATAATGCCAGGAGCAAGGGGCTAGTAATCCTTTCTCCTGTATAAATTACTAAATGTAAAAAAAAGAAAAAAACTTTATTTATTTTTGTTTTGGAGTCACCCTGCCTCAATGGGAGACAGCCAGTGTGATAAAAAAAAAAAAACGATCAGAAAAACACTGAGTATGCCACCTTGTAGTACCTCCTCACCAATGTTTACTGGGAGTGTAGGCATTATTATAAAAATTCATGAAGAGTGATAAAGTGTATAAAAGGAAGGGCAGCTCCCCTCACCTTTGACTCCTTGATGGCCATCTCTAACACTTTATCGCTCTTCTTGTTGATGTTCCAAAGGGCACTACACATCACTTTGTCTGACACACCACCTGCCAGTTCTATAACACGTAGGCTCCTGCAAAAATGTTTGAATTTTACCCTGAACATTTGATAACATGAAGACTAATAGTCACAATACCATCGCTAGAACAATTCACAGCTAACCCACAAACTGGAGATGAGACTACAGTTAGGATATGTAAATAATAAATTAGAATGACAAAACAAACTTACGTAAATTTGACACAACTTTGGAATGAATGAACATCACTGCGGGGTAGATAAAGAACCGCCAGGTTGGGTGAGTGACTGGCCAAGAACTCAAACATGTGATCAGTTTGGCTGAGCTGCTTGAGGGCAAAAACTGGTTGATCCTTGCCAAACATTAATTTAAGTTTACTGATAGTCTTTTCTTCATCGAGTGGTAAGCATCCATCTGATACCCAGATCTTCTCCAGTCCCAACATCAAAGCCACCATAAGAAGATGAGAGTTGTAATGAATACGACCCACATTAATTTCAAATAAGTACTTGTCCCACTGAAATAAAAGACAGAATCATCATTATGAATAAAAATGGTCATGGATGAGTTGAAGAGTTTGATAAAAGAAAAAGGAATAACTGAGGCACTGATGTCATTTTTTAGCATGTTAAAATGTGACCAGAGAGCTTATTATAAGAAAAAAAAAAAAAAAAAAAAAAAAAAGAGAAAGGAATATCACAACACAAATGTTGACATATCTGATGTGGTGGCTATTCTGAAGAAGTTTATATTGAAAAAAAAAAAAAAAAAACATGAAAGAGCTTCTTTATAATGGTAATGTATTTATATTTATTTAGCTCTAAGGAAAAATTCTCAAGGAAATGTTAGTACCTTACTAGCAATGTAAATAAAAATTTAAAAGTACTTCTTGAATGATATTTTTTTTTAACGCACCGGCTGGGTGACCTAAAAAGAAAAACAAAAGTTTTTCTTTTTACATTTAGTAACTTGAACGATAATGACTGGTCAAATATTTTGCCATGGGATTCCTCTCTACCACATGTCCTATGTATATATATAGCTTAAGATCAATAAACTATACAAAAAAATCCCACAATACAGATAATCTCATAACTCTATCGCATATGAAGATACACAAATAACACGCACATAGAAGAGAGGAGCTTAAGACGATGTTTCGACCGAAACGTCGTCATAAGCTCCTCTCTTCTATGTGCGGGTTGTTTGTGTATTGTTCCAGTCACGGTACTGTGCCTTTTTGTTATTTACACATATGAAGAGTTTGAATAGTTAGCTAAGTTCCTAAATGGACTTATTTCTATAATGTCACTCTTCTAGACAAGTAAATGAGAGGGAGGACAGTTGCAGCAGTGATTCATGTCATCACCTGTACCCCCCTCCCCCCTCTGTGTGTGTGTGTGTGTGTGTGTGTGTGTGTGTGTGTGTGTGTGTGTGTGTGTGTGTTGTGTGTGGTGTGTGTGTGTGGTGTGTGTGTGTGAGTGTGTGTGGTGTGGTGTGTGTGTGGTGTGTTGTGTGTGTGTGTGTGTGTGTGTGTGTGTGTGTGTGTGTGTGTGTGTGTGTGTGTGTGTGTGTGTGTGTGTGTGTGTGTGTGTGTGTGTGTGTGTGGTGTGGTGTGTGTGTGTGTGTGTGTGTGTGGTGTGTGTGGTGTGTGTGTGTGTGTGTGTGTGTGTGTGTGTGTGTGTGTGTGTGTGTGTGTGTGTGTGTGTGTGTGTGTGTGTGTGTGTGTGTGTGGTGTGTGTGTGTGGTGTGTGTGTGTGGTGTGTGAGTGTCTGTGTGTGGTGTGTGTGTGGTGTGTGAGTGTGGTGTGTGGTGTGTGAGTGTGGTGTATGTGTGTGTGTGGTGTGTGTGTGTGTGTGTGTGTGGTGTGTGTGTGTGTGTGTGTGTGCGTGTGCGTGTGCGTGTGCATGTGCGTGTGCATGTGCGTGTGCGTGTGCGTGTGTGTGTGTGTGTGTGTGTGTGTGAGATTGATTGATTTCAAATCCCTATCAAAAAAACAGGTATAGCATTTTGATCCTGAGTAGGCACACTGCTAGAGTAAATTTGAATTTGATATAAATCAAAGTTAAAAATTCACTGTTTACACAATCTGCACCACTAAACAAGGATAAGTCGACTGCAATACCTGGGACATGAGTGAAATAAGGTGAAAATAAAGAATTAAGCAATAATAAGACAAAAATTTATTATCTTAATATGAAAACTCTAGTTCACAATTTTCCAAATTAAAGAAAATATTTTCTGAAATTTTGAATGTTCTCCAAAATTCACAATAAGAAATATGTGAATTTTAATTCAGAAATTAATTATTAATTCAAATTTTTATGAGGAAAAATTCTGAGTTTCAGTGTGGCAACTGTCTCAAATTCAGACTTTTTAAATAATTTTTTATTAACACATTGGCCGATTCCCACCAAGGCAGGGTGACCCGAAAAAGAAAAGCATTCATCATCATTCAAGACAGTGGTCTTGCCAGAGGCGTGCTTACACTACAGTTATAAAACTGCAACATTAATACTTCCCATCTCCAGGACTCAAGTCCGGCCTGCCAGTCTCCCTGAATCCCTTCATAAATTTTACTTTGCTCACACTAGACAAAATTTCTTGTGATAAGACCAATTTATAATACACAAGAGAGCCAACAGACAAGCTCTCAACATACCTCATCATGAAACAGACATACCAACAGACACACGCTATCAACGTACCTCATTATGAAACAGACATACCAACAGACACAAGCTATCAACGTACCTCATTATGAAACAGACATACCAACAGACACAAGCTATCAACGTACCTCATTATGAAACAGACATACCAACAGACACAAGCTATCAACGTACCTCATTATGAAACAGACATACCAACAGACACAAGCTATCAACGTACCTCATTATGAAACAGACATACCAACAGACACAAGCTATCAACGTACCTCATTATGAAACAGACATACCAACAGACACAAGCTATCAACGTACCTCATTATGAAACAGACGTGCTTGGTCTCGGAGAGTGGCAAAAAACCATTTCTTTTCAGTCTTCAGTCTGTTTAAGTTGCTTTCAATTACTTTGATAAAATTTGGAAAATGAGTCTGAAAAATAATTAATAATTATCGGGTACACTTCTTTACTAATTGTACTCTTCACTACTCTTAAAGTATTACTTCATAAAGAACATTTATATTTAATTAGAAATATGTAGCAAAATGTAAGAATTAGCCTTGCTTTAATTTATACCCTGATTGCAAAAACAGTACATATCTTTATGCTGGTGAAGAGGTTTTGATCCAATATTTTAGAACTATCCTCCATTTCCTCAAATCAAACCTGTTAGCATCCCATTTCCCAAGATCTGTATGACCCTTAGAGGTTAAACATTTTCCCATGAATATATTAATATAGTAAAATACCATAGTAATAATGTAAGTACATATATTGGGCTTTAAGCACAGAAAAATAATTAAAGTTTGAAAATCCTTAATTATACAAAATAATGCACAGTTTAAGAGAAAAAACTTAAATAACAGAAAAAAACATACTGCATACAACCATGAAAACAAAATGGATTAAAAAACACACAAATACAACACAAGGGGTTCACAGCGAATGAACGCACGTCTGACCAAGACCAACTACAAGGCAAGGGTCTTTGTTAGGTGTACACAAACAATAGGAAGTGGGGAAAATTGGCGAGTGCAAAAAAATGGTATGGATTGTAAAAATTGGCCGGCTGTGTTTGTTTGCCACATGATTATGTGCTCATGACCAGATGCAAAAACTTGGCAAATTTTTTGGTCGTGAACCGATTTGTGTTTGGAAGCATTCGTGACCAGAGGTTCCACTGTACAAACCACTTCTCCCACCATATGCTGTACCGTCTTCAAAATTGATGGACTGAATACATTGATTCCAGGCTGAGGGACTGCCTCAAGCACCTTCTCACACCATACATCTTTGAATTGGACTGATGAAGCTAGTGTGTGGCAAAACGGTTCCTCAAATATGCTGTATAAGTGTTTCATTCTTCAACTTGTCATTTTTCTAAACCATTTACCACAATAATCTTTATTTATACAAGTACAATAGGACCCACATATAGTCACTGGACACTTTCCTAGAACTGCTGTAGTTTGTGGAACTCTTTGAAACATGGTGTTATGCACAGTGCTGTTTTATACTCATACAATATACAAATACATAAATGTTTGGACAGTTTAAGAGTTAGGTAATAATAACTGTTGATGTATTATGGTCCAGAAGCTCCATCACCTCCTAAACTCAATATTAATATTTCACAATTGATTCAAATTACTGTGAACATTATTTACTAAAATGGCATTCAGCCCAGAGTAACAAAAATCGAAGCTCTATCCTAAAATGGACTTACATGGAAGAAGGTGGAGTCCCTGGCATACCGCTTCACAATCATGATAGTGTACAGTGAGAGGATCTCCAACGTATGAAAATTCGTGGAAAGAACTTCCAATTTGGCAGCATCTTGAATACTGCTGTAAAACAAACTTGTATATTAATCATCAAAACTTAACATACTTGCAGTGGTGGTGGTGTGGTGTGGCAGTGGTGTGGTGGTGAGGCTGTGGTGGTGAGGTGGTGAGGCTGTGGTGGTGAGGTGGTGGTGTGGTGGTGAGGTGGTGGTGTGGTGGTGTGATGGTGGTGGTGTGGTGGTGTGATGGTGGTGAGGTGGTGGTGGTGTGATGGTGGTGGTGTGATGGTGGTGAGGTGGTGGTGGTGTGATGGTGGTGGTGTGATGGTGGTGTGATGGTGGTGGTGTGATGGTGGTGGTGTGATGGTGGTGGTGTGATGGTGGTGGTGTGGTGGTGTGATGGTGGTGAGGTGGTGGTGGTGGTGAGGTGGTGGTGGTGAGGTGGTGGTGGTGCGGTGGTGGTGGTGAGGTGGTGGTGGTGCGGTGGTGGTGGTGCGGTGGTGGTGGTGCGGTGGTGGTGGTGGTAGTGGTGGTGGTGGTAGTGGTGGTGGTGGTAGTGGTGGTGGTGGTAGTGGTGGTGGTAGTGGTGGTGGTAGTGGTGATGGTGGTGGTAGTGGTGATGGTGGTGGTAGTGGTGATGGTGGTGGTAGTGGTGATGGTGGTGGTAGTGGTGATGGTGGTGGTAGTGGTGATGGTGGTAGTGGTGATGGTGGTAGTGGTGGTGGTAGTGGTGGTGGTAGTGGTGGTGGTAGTGGTGGTGGTAGTGGTGGTGGTGGTAGTGGTGGTGGTGGTATTGTGGTGGTGGTGGTATTGTGGTGGTGGTATTGTGGTGGTGGTAGTGGTGGTGGTACTGTGGTGGTGATGGCAATAGTGTAGTGGTAGTGTGGTGGTGGTGATGGTGGTAGTGTGGTGGTGGTGGTTGTGGTGGTGGTTGTGTGGTGTGGTTGTGGTGGTAGTGTGGTGTGGTGGTACTGAGGTGGTGATAGTATGGTCAAAGTGTGTTGGTAGTGTGGTGGTGGTGTGGTAGTAGTGTGGTGGTAGTGTGGTAGTGTGGTGGTAGTGTGGTGGTGTGGTAGTGTGGTAGTAGTGGTGGTAGTGTTAGTGTGGTGGTGGTAGTGTGGTGATGGTAGTGTGGTGGTGGTAGTGTGATGGTAGTGTGAGTGTGGTGGTGGAAGTGTGGTGGTGGTAGTGGTAGTGTGGTGGTGGGAGTGTGGTGGTGGTAGTGTGGTAGCAGTAGTGTGGTGGTGGGAGTGTGGTGGTGGAAGTGTGGTGGTGGTAGTGTGGTAGCAGTGTGGTAGTACTGTGGTTGTAGTGTGGTAGTAGTAGTGTGGTAGTAGTGTGGTAGTAGTGTGGAAGTAGTGAGGTGGTAGTAGTGTGGTATTAGTGTAGTTGTGGTAGACTGAGAGCCCTTTAAGTTTATTTAGGTACAGGGACACAAATTATCATACCTGAGATTATTATAATTAAAACTAAGTGCTAAACCCACCAGGGTCATACAGCACTGAATCATACATGGTAACATGTGTGTAAATTACCTAGGATAATAAAAAAAAAATCAGTGATTTATTTCCACTTGGGTCCTTGAGTACCTGTACTCTCTGAGAGTATATTATTATCATCATCATTATTATCATTAAATTAAAACTAAGTGATAAATATTTACCACAAGGGTCATACAGTGCTGCTTAGAGAGTCAGTAAGTTTATTTAGATACTGGTACATATAATACATGTAATAATAATACAAATCTTTATTTCTACTTGTACAAGGTATACAGACCAAAGCTAACATTAATGACATACATACGTACTACTATATAGAAAGCCGCTTGTTATGCAGAGCACTTTGGGCAAATTAGGTCAGTTTTGTCCCCAGGATGCAACCCAAACCAGTCGACTAACACCCAGGTCCCTAGTTTACTGATGTGGAACATAGACAACGGGTGTAAAGAAACATGCTCAATGTTTCTACCCTTGCCAGGAATCGAACCCAGACCCTCACCGTGTGAAGAGAGAGCTTTTTCCACCAGGCCACGGGGTACAAGTACAATTATCATGTATACATATATCATGTTATACCTGTTAACATACGTGTAAATTACCTATGTTTATTTAGTGACTATTGATGAAAATTAATAATTTTTGGCAGTGTTAAGATATCCTAGTTCATCAAATCAAATCAAAATCAAAATAAAAAATTAATTTCTATGTAAAGGTTAGAATGTGTGTTGACATTTCATAATTAGATTGGTACAAAGAAAGCCACTATCATGCTGAGACATTTCAGGCAGACTTAACCTAATACGTACTTAAAGACTACTGTAATTGATTTTGGACTTTCAACTCACCCAGGCCAACCTTGGGTTTATGGTGACTATGAAAAGAACCGCATCGACAAGTTTTTGGAATTCAGCCCCTGGACCTGTTATGAAGCTGCTATGGGCCAGCCTGTCACAACAAAAAGTGATGTGGTGGGAGTCGCCCTGCTCATCAAACAGGTTATTTGAATAATGGATCGTAAGCCCCACCAGCTGATGACCATGGCCCTGAAGGGCCTCAGGCGGGACCCAAAGGAGAGCCATACCCCCGGCCGGGATTGAACGCAACGGGCTGGAGTTTTGAGACTATGACCGCGGGTTCAATCCCGGCCGGGGGTATGGTTTATTTGCAATCGTGTCATTACGATTTCTTGAGTCAGTACGGCATGAAGGACTGAGCTAGACGTACGTCACGGCCACAGCACTGGAGATTCTGTCTTAAAAACTGCAATTTGTGGCACGAGGTGCCTTGTTCTACTTTCCTATGGTGTAGAAATATCCTAGTTGATGAATCTTATTGTGGCTACTGGTCTAGTGGCTAACGACACGCTGGAGTTGTGAGACTCTATGACCCGTGGTTCAATCCCGGCCGGGGGTATGGTTTATTTGCAATCGTGTCATTACGATTTCTTGAGTCAAGGAGAGACCTGGCCTGAAGACGTACCTCCGAGCAACACAAAAAGTCATGTAAATCTTCACTCCAGTTTGGTTGAGCTCGATTTTTTGTTTATTGTAATTTGCCAAATTTGGTTGACCTCGGATTTCTTTTTATTATTTGTTACGTATATTGGAAAAAAAAAAAAAAAAGGAACTTGAAGAGCAGCCGCCCACGTGCAAGTTCTGGGTACCTTGTGTAATTTGAAGTACTTGACACGGTTCATTTTGTGACTGGGGCTACATGACCATTCCATGAGAGTGGCGACACGATCAGTTACCAAGTCTGAGAGCTGCTCACACACAGAGACCGTCATTTAGCACGAGTTTATTTGGCACGATTTGGGTATAGCACACTGCAAAATGCGCACAAATTATTGTACATTAAATTTAACCGTGTCATTTGTGGAAAGGAAAAAAAAAATACGCTTTTCCTGAAGTGGCCGCCTTGTGTGGGTCAACCAGGCAACCTCCTACCATCTGCTAACACCCCCCCCCCCCAAAACCACCCACAATTCGTACACAGTAGTGTCCACCAGTCCATCTCTGCTATAAGGAGCTTGATGTAAAATTGTTTTGATCATTTAATTTGTATCTACCAAGCAATCATGACACCCAGACACAACCATGTGCTGAAAGTGCAAGAAAACCTATAAGCATTTAATTCTTACATTAACAAGTAAACAAGATTAAGACAAGAAATACCCATAATAAATGTTACTTTGTACACTTCAAAGAGGTGATGTTTGACTGACTTGACTAATGACTTACTGACTTGACTGAATGACTTACTGACTTGGCTGAACGACTTACTGACTTGGACTGAATGACTTACATGACTTGCTGAATGACTTACTGACTTGGCTGAATGACTTACTGACTTGGCTGAATGACTTACTGACTTGGCTGAATGACTTAATGACTTGGCTGAATGACTTAGACTGGCTAAGACTTACTGACTTGGCTGAATGACTTACTGACTTGACTGAATGACTTACTGACTTGACTGAATGACTTAGCTGAAAGACTTACTGACTTGGCTGAATGACTTACTGACTTGACTGAATGACTTACTGACTTGACTGAATGACTTACTGACTTGACTGAATGACTTACTGACTTGGCTGAATGACTTACTGACTTGAATGAATGACTTACTGACTTGCTGAATGACTTACTGATTGACTGAATGACTTACTGACTTGACTGAATGACTTACTGACTTGGCTGAATGACTTACTGACTTGGCTGAATGACTTACTGACTTGACTGAATGACTTACTGACTTGACTGAATGACTTACTGACTTGACTGAATGACTTATTGACTGACTTCACTGAATGACTTACTGACTTGACTGAATGACTTACTGACTTGGCTGAATGACTTACTAACTGACTTCACTGAATGACTTACTGACTTGACTGAATGACTTACTGACTTGACTGAATGACTGAATGGCTTACTGACCTGACTGAACTTATGACTTGACTGAATGCCTTACTGACTTGGCTGAATGATTTACTGACTTGACTGAATGACTTACTGACTTGACTGAATTATTTACTGACTTGACTGAATGATTTACTGACTTGACTGAATGACTTACTGACTTGACTGAATGATTTACTGACTTGACTGAATGACTTACTGACTTGACTGAGTATTTTGTTGACTTCTCTGACTGACTGTATGACTTTACTGACTGACTTACTGACATGACAGGATGACTTATTGACTTGACTGATTTACTGACTTGACGGAACATACTGACTTGCCTTAGTGAATTACTGACGTGACTGAATGACTTACTGACTTCACTGAATGACTTATTAAACTGACTTAATGACTTACTGACTTGGCTGAATGACTTACTTCAATGAATGACTTATTGACTTGACTGATTGACTTACTGACCTGACTGAATGACATACCTGACTGAATGACTTACTGATCTGACTGAATAACTTGGACTGAATGATTTACTGACTAGACTGAGTGAATGACATAAAAGTTAGACACTCCAGTACAACCTCCGGTACCAGAACCTCTACCATCCACCTCAGCACAGTAGAGTTGCAGTATAATTCTCC